GCTTACTGTACGTATTTGAATTGCTAACCCTGGATATCTTAGTAAACAATGACTTCCACAACACATACGACCTCTTCGACCTATTCGACGGTCTGGAAGTGAAAGACTTTGACGTGGAGGTCGTCCCCGACTCAGTCGAGACGAAGTCCCAGCCAAATGGAGCAGCCCCGGAAGAAGTTGCCATGAAGAACTAAAGCCAGAGCCATTGCCTCCAACCCTGCCTTGACCTTTTCTACTCGCAATTCTCTCCAACCTCTCATATCCCTTATTCAACATCTATCTCAACGATACCAGCCCGGGGGCACGAAATGCCAAACCCCAGGGCATCATGTTTAATGGCGACACGACTGAAGACCTCTCAACGATTTCTTCCCTGAGCGTTATTCACTTTCAACATTTTTTTTTCAACATTTCTCTTTCCCATATACCCCTCTCATCTTTTTCTTTTATCATTGATCACGAACGAGAAGGATTACGAAATTCAACATCTAATGTGGTATCAGCTTAAAAGCTACGGAACAGGAAGTCCTTGCTCACATGTCCTCTTTTCCAACAAAAAGGGGCCTTGCATAGACAGAAAAGCATATTCTTTTTTTATAGAAGGAACGGGTCCTTCTACGATAATTCAACATACATGATGGATGACGGAGTTTGGTTTCAACGGATAGGCAGTCGGTCAAATCTTTCAAGAGCAAAAGTGGCCCTCTTCAACACGGGATACGGAGTCTTTTTCATCACCTCCCATCGTCCTGGTCATTTTGTTTTGTCATTTTTTTATATTTCTCACTATATGTCTTTCCCGCTCTCTGTTTAGTGGTCTCCCCCCTAATAGAAGAATACAAAGAGATTCGAGGATTCTATTCGCTGACGTCGTTCCCTTGTCTTTGCGCTGGGATTTGGTAGCAGACATAGTCAAAGTCGAATAGAGACAGATACAGACGGGTCTTTGACCGACAGACACCCGTAGCGTCCACCCACACACACACATATATATATATGTATAACACTACAATAAAACTACATAGTGCTGTCAAGTCATACCACTTCTTGCTTGCTCTATCACAAAATTCACAAGCAGGAATCATATTTATCCGCCTGTGTAAGAATAGCCCAGTCATCAAAGAGCGGGTGCCTACCTACACTTTCACGCGTAGTAATGATAGATAGCTGAAAATACTAGTCAAGAACCCCTCGCGCCATCCATGCAGCAGTATTATGTGATACAATCATGCCGAGAAAACACCCGGCCCGCCCACTGACAGAATCATGTAAAGAGAGCCCGTCCTATCGCTACAAAGAACCATCCAAAAGGCTTCGCGAACCATACAACCCAACTTCCAACAAGGACTATGTACCCGGCTGCCCGTTCAACAACCATCATCATAAAACACAGAACAACGAGGTAAGCAATCGCCTGACAGATGTCCGTCACAGACCGAGCGAGATCACCTTCTGCCGGCCGCGGCCAGACCCCGGTGGCATTGTAAACGGAAAAGACCGTCAGCCACGTCCGGAGAACCTGAAGGCAATGCTCCAGCATCTGCAGGACGCTGTTAATGGCAATCTTCAGCAGGGCGGTCTTGGAATGCCGATTTGACACGACTCTTTGCCAGAGGGCCTCCATTTGAGCAGCTGATAGGATGAAGATTTCCAAGACCAGAGCGAGGGTCAGCGCATTTGTCGCACTCTTGGTGGGACTCGCCACCTCCATCTCCATGTTCGGCAGATCAGCGCGTAAATGAGTGATTCGAGGCGGCGGCGTCTTTGCTTTGTGTTCGGCCACTTGTAATCCGTCCAGTTCCGCTACTTCTATCACCTTGGTCGTTTCTGGCACTGTCTTAGTACCATCCAGCTGACCTCTGTCAATCGAACCGACTGGAGAGATATTGACAACCAGCGACGTCCTGCCGGCTTGGCCGGAGTCCGTGACTCGTCTCAGTTGCGAGTTCTCGCTGCTCGATCCAGTGCTCGAAGCACGCGATTGTGTGGGGTTATTTCCGGTGCGTTCTGCCTGACCTTCTGCAGATGGTGGTGTCATGCCTGGAATACGGATGAACCCACGCATATCTCGAGACTGTTCGACCTTGCGCCGCCCGGCTTCTACTCGATCCTTGACCACGGGGATACTCCGCACAGGAGCACTTCGCAAGGGCACGGGCGACGATACGTTTGATTTTTCCTGCGAGTTTTGCGCCACTCGTCTCAGTCCCAGTGGCGAAGGCTTTCCTTGCGGTCTTGCTCGAGCGTCGGCGATAATGTCGCCTGCGGTGCGCGACGTGGGTATTCCGACGGGAGATCCCTTCTGCGCCGCAGCCTTGATATCGGACATGCTCACCATAGTGCGTATGATAGTGGGTGTGATAATGTACACATCGTCGTCCCTGGGAGTCGGTTTTCTGTCCTCGAGGCGCTTGCCCAAAGGTGGCGGGGACTCGCGGTCGTCTTTGCCCGAGCCCTGAGCTGTCTTTTCTAGTTGCTGGCAGCTGGTCTCGCGGCACACGGTCCTCTGTGATGGCTTCGAGCATTGGACAAGTTTCAAATTCAGAGTACCTGGTTTCCATTCTTCTCGAGGAACGGTCTTCTCTCCGAGGTCCGTATTCCTCTGGCGGACCACTTGGATCTTCCTTTCTTTGGGACTTTTGGACATAGGACTCGACACATCGACCACCCGGGGACGATCTACGGGCGAAAACAGTAGGATCTCGTCGGGGTTCTTGTCGTTGGGCCCGTTGATCTCCTTGCACCCTAAAAAAGAGCCATCAGGATTGACATTTGGTACATCCTTTCCGGATCTCGAAGCAGATTCTTCCCATATTGTGCTGATGCGATTTTTGCCAATCTCATCTGGACAGTAGTACTTCGGATGTTTTGACTGCGATGGTGGACTTTCCTCAACTCCCGCCGAATGGGCGGGTGGGGGAGGAGGATCTTGGCCGTCAAACGAGGTCGGCTTCGCAGTCTGGACAGCAGATAAATCCTTGTCTTCGGGCGTCCCGGTACGTGGACTAGGCAGAGAGTCTGGATCAAGCATGGCACCCCCGTCGTTGTGCACCCTCTCGATGCTTTGCTGGAATTCCGCAATCTGCTGCGCACTCATTGTTGGTGGGTTTGGCTCTTTGGCGGATGGCATGTTGACAACGAATTTGTCCTCCCATTCCGTCAACGAGCTGCTCGGGCCGGATACGGGTGACAGAGAAGAGTGAGAATTGATCGACGAGTCGGTAGCGTTATCTGTCTTGTCCGTGGAAAAGTGCAGAATGCTCTCGTCCGTATCAGAATTCTTTCGTTGAACTCCACTGAGCTGTCGCTTCCCTTGGCCGCTGAGCTGGTTATCAAATCTGCTGGGAGAGCTGTAGCCTGGACGAAGCCGAGGATGGATGATAGGGCTCGCAATCCGCGACTTTGGGCTTCCTCGTAGATCGCCACCGGCCGATCTCAGTTTCTGCTTGACCAATTCGCTCTTCGGAGAGCTGGCCAGTGATATGATCTTTTTGTAGGCTCCGTAGTAAGTCTCTTTGTGCTTGTCCTTCTCCTTCTCTTTATCCTTCTCTTGGCTCTTCGCCGATAGGGATTCCCTCTCAAACTTATCCCTGACCTTCCGCCAATATTGCTCTCGGTCTTTGTCCATCAACTCCTCCGGACTGCTGTATAAAGTTGTAGGCGATTTTCTTGGTCGGACGTTCCCAGGTGAACCATATTCCCGGCGCTGAGGCGTAGCAGGTTTATCTTTTTGCTGTTCCTGGGTCTTGCTTGCTATATCCCTGGGCAGAGGAAGCTTCGTCGGTCTGGTCCTTCGCACGATGGGTTGAGTTCCAGTTCCAGAATCACTGTTTCTCGAATTCATTGGGCTTCCACCGAGGTCTGATGTATTTCCCTCCTGCTGTGTATTTTCGACTGCTTCCACGTCCAATTCCTCCCGCTTATCGGGGCGCCTTCGAGGCGAAAGGTTCAAGAGGTGCCCCTGATGTAAGTGCAGAAGCTCATCCATATTGGTATCGACAGTGACGGCTATTGACAGGCTGGTCTTCAAGGCCAGGTTGACCTTCCACAGTTACCCATTCCTTGAGCAACAACCACTTATCTTGTTCTTGACTTTGGTCCGATGGGTTTCAGGACTCTTTGACGATGATTTCGTAGGATGCTGAGGCTGATGATGAAGGATCGCCGTAACATGGCGAAGTGCTTGCCAGAAAAGACCGACGGGACGAGTGCACTGGGCCGTCGAGTGCAGTGGCAGGTTCCCAGCCTGAGAAAAGAATATGAAGAGATTTGTAATTATATGTGCGGAATGCTATGTGATCCGACTTGCCATGCCGAGGAATGTAGCAGGACACACACACGCGGACTGAAGGAACCACTGCGGAATGCGCGCCTGCTGGTTTTGTCCGCCGTCTGGAATGGAAACTGCAGCCGCGTAGGAGAATGTCGGCCGTCTGTCTGATGAAGCGTGACAAGATGATTGTAGTGTAGATTAAGTGTTGGCAGATTGTGTAGATCGGACATGTTGATCGTCATAGGATTAAGGGTATCTCACAAAATCAAAAGTCACAGTATCCTATCGGCCATACAACACGTAAAGAACTACCTCGCCTCGAAATCAAGCCACGTCTGTGGAAATATAGTCCAGTCTTTACTCCGTAGTACCGACAAGTCAACAATGGGCCAGACCGCGCCGTGTCAGGGACGGAATATGATATATTACAGTGGCTGGTGACCCTAGCCAGCCAACATTCCCAGTCAACAGAGAAACAGGACGACTCTGAACTGCACTCCGGAAAGGAAATCGTCATGAAAAACACATTATGAGAATAGAAATCATGTGAAAGCGAAGTGCACCTCCAAACGCCAAAGCCAAATGCTGCAAAAAGTCATGGTTACACGGTGTATACGCTTAATGAACAGATGACAGGATCGTAGAATGACCCGTGCACCGCAATGATACATCGGCAATTCTTCTTCTTTTTCGTCAATTCGCGAGGTGGCTAATCCCATGACTGAATTCAGAACCGGCCCGTTTCACGACGAGGGTCATTCTGAGTCCGTCTCGGTGTCGAGGTCAACGGAGTTGCACTGCCGGGCACATTGCTCTTTTTTAAGGGACTTGATAGCCTCTTCATAGGAGTACCTCGGTCTTTGAATAAGAAATCGGAATTCTGAACCCGGCGGTCGATATTGGCCGGCGTAGACCGCCTCAAGGGGGAATTTGCGTGCGAGAAGACCCCCAAACTGCCGCCGTCGCCTGTAGCACTAGGTGTGGGTCGGAAGTGCGGTTGGCGTATGGAGGCAACGGGACCTCGTACAACCGGGGAGGCATCTCGCAAATGACTGGGTGTTTGCAGCGATGTATAGTTGTGAGAAGTATTTGGCGTAGCGAATGTCTGTCGTCTGGCGGACGCCCCCTCGGGGTCGACAAAACTGACATAGTTCGGATTGGGACTGGTTTTGAATCCTCGGTGGATCACACGGGTAGGAGTAAACGTGTCCACCTTGTTGTACTTGGCATCGGAACCAGGTTGAGAGGTACTGGGGTCGGAGAACTGAGTGCCAACATCTCTCATGACGGGCTGGGTCCGCGGATGGACAAATTTGGTGTCGTATTCATTGAGGACCTCCTTGTGAACCACCATGGAATCCTTGGCTTGCTGAGTGAACGAGGAAGAGAGGAATGACATCTGCACAGACAGCAGAGTTGTAATGAAGATAGTCGTGACGATAGTAACGCTTGGCCGGGGATCGGACAGCTGCGTAGGTAGGAATACCCAGTATACCAGGACGTGTCCGGGGCTGAAGAGGCAGAACAGTCGAAGGCAAATCGGCAGAGGATCCCAGACTGCAAGTTCCCAGACATCCCGATGCGCATCGGGATGCGCCCGGGACTCAGCAGATCCGGCAATCACGTTTGCAAAGTACCGCAATGGCGAAGCTGTCATAGGTGTTGAATCGACACGGACACGGCGAGCCGACGGTGTAGCCGGTGGTTGATCTATCGAAGCCTCAAACAGACGATAGAGTCGCTTCCGATAGAAGGTGTAGAAAGTGTTCAACGCACTGAAGCACGCGAGTAGGTGGACGATGAAGGAAGCCTGCCAGCAACAACCGATTAGCGTCTCATCCTCTGTGAACCCCCAGCAAGCTCCCTGAACCGTTGGCGACATACAAACCAGCTCATCCAAGGCACTCCGCCATCATCTCCGAAGACATCKTCAATGGCCCTGCTGCCACTCGACCGGCTGTTCGCCCTCGCAGTGAGGAAGGCTAAATTGAGAACAACACCCAAAGGCAGCGCCCACTCCTTCTCAAACTGATCCCAAGCATTCACATCAATCTCCTCTGACAGCCATAGCAGAAAGTCCAGTGGATTCAAGTACGATCTGATGCGCTCCGCGAGCGGTTGGCGGCGCACAAGCCGGGGCATGTTGATATCGAGGCACAGATATTGTAAAGCACTGCCAGGGAGGTTTCGTTACCCTTCATATGTGCTCCAGCCAGGCAACTCGATTATCAAGAGAAACCTTTTGTGGAGCGACAAAAGGCAAACATACGCCAAGTTTTCCGTTCCGCTGCTAAACAACAAACACATCACGGCCCCGCTTAGATAAGCTGCAGCGGTCTGCTATGACGAACGTTCACTGAAAGAGGATATCCACAATCGGGACACGACTCCTTCATCGCACAAGCTCATTGTTGGACTTGGTCGACCTGCCCACAGTAGCTGCTCTGCAGGGTAGATTCCACTTATTTCTAAAGGCTCAGCCCAGCCGATTCTTTGTCCGAAGATGGCAGCCTCGGCGGTGTCCTACAAGGTACGTTCACAGTCGCATATCCCACGGTGGCATGGCCGTATCAACTGACTCTCCTCTGAACCCTAGGAACGGCAATTCCTCGCCGTCATCGGCGACGAAGAGTAACTAGCACCTCCGGTAGCAAGACAAAGAGACAGAAACACCACCGCTAATCGCATCCAGCTCCGTTACCGGTCTCCTCCTCGCAGGTATCGGTGTACGTATACCACCACGCCGAGATATTATCCCCGAAAAGCACAACTAACAACCCCTTAGCATGTCACGGACGGCCCAGACGCCCAGCGAAACTTCCTCGTCGTCGATTCCAAGACCGAAACATCTGCTATCGAGAAGGCGTTCCAGAACTTCACCCAGGAGAGGAAAGACATTGCCGTGCTGCTGATCAACCAACACGTACGTTCCATTCCATTCTGCCTCATTAGTGATCAGTGCCTCATCGAACCAGATTGCCGAACGCATCAGACACAGCGTCGACTCCTTCGCGGACCCGTTCCCCGCCGTCCTCGAGATCCCGAGTAAAGACCATCCCTACGACCCCGAGAAKGACAGTGTGCTCAAGCGCGTGCGGCGGCTATTTGGGGAATAGACGGTAACTACTAGGTTTTGTTTTGTTTTGAGCATCTTCACTTGTTAGGATGTGTTGTAGGGTGGTCGCTTGCGCGGAGCGAGTTGTGGGAAGATACCCGATTATCTAGGATCTATGCACATAGAATTCGATATATTGTCAGCGCCGAGAGGATGCTTGGTTGTCTGCAGAGGCAGTAATGTTTCCCTCTTCATAGTAGTGATGGTTGCTACGTCCGCTCTCCGCTTCTTTACTGTCCTGAGAGTCGTGAATAGCTCGAATGAAGGCTCTGTATTAGATGGTAGTTCACGCATATACATAGTTGTGTTGGCACGACGAGAAACAAGTGATGACGGTCTGCCCTGACGCCGGATGATATAGCACATCATCTAATCAAGCAAAGCGGTTATAACCAAGAGCATGCAACTTTGACTGTGAAGGACCATGGCAGTTTACGCAAACATAAGACTTAAACCTCAAGACAAACATGGAACAGAGGCACATAAGGGTAATTCATCAAGCGATCATAAGTATGTAGGAGCAGGTTCGAAAGCAACATCAGTGATCATCCAGTGGAAGGGTAGCGATGGTAGCCAACGTGCCTTCTCATGGCCGGATCTTGAACTCGATATTGTGCGCATCCAGGCAGGTAATCTTCTTGCCATCCTTGGTATAAACGTCGGCATGGACGTTGTACTTCCCCTGTTCATCGTCGTTAGTAACTAATTGGCCATTAAATACCAGGACAGCTCGAAAGGCCAACGTACAGGAGGAATATGCGAAGGCAGATCAACTTGCTTAGTTAACGTCATATTGCCTTCCTCTAGGGGACACTCGAGGTCGACATTCTTGATCTGTTCGCAGAGATCGGCGGTCTGTTTGATCAGGGTGATGAGACCGTATTTAACCTCCAGAGCAACATAAGCGCCTTCCTCCACCCGCTCCTTCAGGTTGCCCTTGGCATTGATAGTGAGAGTTTGGCCACTGTGGTCAAGAATCAGTCAGTTGCCCTTGACCCGACACTATACGGTATGTGGACTGCCAGTACGTACGGAAGAGGAGGGTTAGGAAATAAGTCCACCGATTCGATCTCCAGGATATTGCCCGAAGGGTCGGAACAGTATTCTAAGGGGTTATTTCCCTTGACAGGAAAGCTCTCGGCTGAGATTGGAGCCTGCGCGGAATCGAAGAAGGAGATCGACCGTGCTGAGACGGATAGAGGAGCAAGGCAGAGAAGCAGGGTAGGGGCGGTCGATAAGAGCTTCATGGTCGCAGGATCAGCCAACCAGCGGTCGTAGTAGACTAGGACCAGAGAATGACAGGACGAAGATTAGATACTGCTCTTGATGGTATAAGAGAGAGGAAAGAGGTGATATATGGAGGACAAAGTCGCAAGGAGGGTCTGATGGCAGACGCAGGAGAGGAATGGTAGATGAGGAGAAGCGGTGATGAGCCACAGCCACTGGTGCAATGTACCCGGCCTGGATAGTCGTATGCGAATGACGACGGTGGAGGTGCACGTGACTATGCAGGCACGAGGTGCGCTAGTTGTGTCACGGCTCCGATGAAGATACGCCGATAGTCGAGATCGTTACTATAGCTATTCAGAATACCCTCGATGCTAAAATTGTAGTCGGACTTGCAATTATGCTACCATCTTGAACCCGGAGTTCAATCGCTGAAATGCCAGTAGGCGGAGTCAATCATGGGGGACCCACTGGTCGCTTCAATACTCCGCTGATATGGATCAACTACAATTTCTTACCATACCACTAAGCAATCGATGGGCGAGAGTCTGACGTACAGAAACGATAAACATGCTCTTATTTCATGCAAGGCTAGGTATATATATACAAAGTGGCCATTCCCAAGCCGACAGCGCTTCATCATTTTGCGGGGTAAATCTTCAAACGTTTATCTTAATGCTCCGAAACAAAGATTCCAGCCATGCCCATGCCCTAGTCAATATTAGTAGAAGTTCAGAGATGAGACCAAACCAACGGGAACTTACAGTTCCAACACACATCGAGGTGACGGCAATTCTCTTGTTCTGACGGCGCAGCTCGGACAGAGCAGTAACGACCTGGCGAGCACCAGTGCAGCCCAACGGATGACCAAGTGCACTGCAAATTGTTAGCAAATGAAGAAGAACGCGCAATGATAACCAGATGACTCACATCGCTCCACCTCTGGGATTGACCTTGCTCTCATCAAGACCCAGCTTGCTGACACAGTAGACCCCCTAGACAGTCATTAGTTAATATAGCTCAGATATATACAACAGGACCAATCATACCATGGACGCAAACGCTTCGTTAATCTCGAAAATATCGATATCGTCCTTGCTCAGGTTGAACTTGGACAGAATCTTGGGGATAGCAATGGAAGGGCCGATACCCATGATTCTAGGTTCCAAACCCGCAACTGTAGCTCCGCAAAACTTGCCAATGATGGGCTGCCCGAGTTCCTGGGCACGGGACCGCTTCATAAGGATGACACCGGCGGCACCATCGGTGATCTGACTGGCATTGCCACCAGTTGTGGCGCTGGGCTTCCACTGAGGGAATGCTGAGCGAATCTTGCCGAGGGACTCGGCAGTGGTGCCATAGCGAACGCCATCGTCACGGTCAACGACGACATCCTTTACCTCACCGGTTTTGGGATCTTTGACTTGGGTCTTGACGGGCACAATCTCGTCGACGGTCCAACCGGCCTTTTGCGCGCGCTCGGCCTTCTGATAACTCTTGGCCGCAAACTGATCGTGTTGCTCTCGAGAAATGTTGAACTGGGCAGCGACGTTCTCTGAGGTCTGGCCCATAGGCTGCATGTTCTGGGAGGCAATAGGATGCGACAGGATCTGAGCCGACATCTCTGGGGCGCCTCCATCGGCGTTGGTGCTCATGCTCTCGGCTCCGACAGCGATACCGATATCGATGGATCCAGCCATGATCTGGTTAGCGACGTTCTGGATCGCCAGCAATCCAGACGAACAGAATCGGTTGGCAATGGAGGCGGCGGCCGTCACGGGGAAGCCAGCTGCAAGCACCGCGGAGCGGGCGAGGTATGCGGAACCAGGCGCAAGCACATTACCGACACAGACATCTTCAACAAGGTTGGGGTCGAGGTTGGATTTTTCGCGGATAGACTGCAGATTGTTAGGATAGAGTATGTTTGGCGAGGACATTGATTTGGTAACATACGGTAAGCAATGAAATTAGGAGATTATCTACTGTGGTGTCTTTCAGGCCACCTTTTCTGGCCTTTGTGAGAGGAGTCCGAACAGCAAGCGTGATCACCTGAGCAGAGGTCAGTCTTCGTCTTAGTTCTCGCCAGCCCTGTTCAGACGTACAATATCATCGGGATTCTTGGCCAACAGCTTGCTCTTCGCCGACACATTCGAACCAGCGACCTGGTTAGCGATCGAGGACAACCGTTGCTGTGGCGTAGACATGATTCTTTTCTGCGGGAACGTTGCAGGAATTTTCTTGTGTCCTGAAGAAGTATATGGGATAGAAGAAAAGACCGAAAGATGAAAGGTCAACTGCTCCGCGAGAATGACCGCGCTATGTTATAGTTCGGAGATGGCGAATGAACMGCGGCATCTAGGACAATATTGATCTGTGAAGGGCAAGGAGAACATAGCAGCCGAAGTGCCACGAGCGAACGGCCGAGCCGAGATCCAGATTAATAATATTAGAGCCAATGGGATAATAAGGCAGAATACGGGGACGAACAAGCATTGCAGCCAGTTGGATAAATAAGGGTATCCTGAGGTCAAGACAAACCCCATAGATCCACTGTGGTAGGTAGACAAGACTGAGAGCCAGCCGGTTCCCGACCGACACTGCCGCAAAACGGACAGTATTGCAGAGGTATTGTTACCGTACGCCTCCAAAGACAGCAGTGGCCTCGGCTGTCGGACTTGGTACCACATCGTGTTAGGGCGGTATGGTAGTTACCAGTGGATCTATCCAAGAGATAAGGCAATTCTTCATGGAAATCCACCTGCATACAGTAAGGACCACAGGAAACATAGTATATAGATTTGACTCTCATACCTCCAGTATCTTGTCTCTCAAGGGTTGTTTGTGGAATTCAGGCTTCTCCCTCGAATCTGAGGTGATACATATTGAGTATCCAAATGTCCTTCCAGGCGTCGGGGAGGAAACATGACTGGGAAGTGGGGAAGAAGCAGTCCGCCCCACAACTTTCCGTTCCCACGCAACGCGTTTTCCCACGGGGAGTGCCGCAGTATTAAATGGGTATGAGGTACTCCGTACCTTGTATTATGTGGTTTGAATTCTCCAGTCGCTTTTACGGATAGAAATATAGCTTTACAACCAATTTATTAGTGTGTGGATGGAGCGGTTGAAGAAGTAGTGCTCCGTATCCTCCACAAAATATATACTTCTAGATTTGGTGGTGGTCTGGACTCTCCAGTGCCTGGGCATGCATGGAAACCTGTAGAACTGTAAATACCTCAGTATGCCATGTCTCTTGGCGCCGCTCCAACCCTGCAGCAGGGGCCTGAACAGATACTCGGGGTAAGTATGACTCTTAGCGCCGGCTCCAAACCTGCACCTGGGGCCTGGACAGATACTCGAGGTAGGTATGAGGCAGTTCCCCGGTACTACCGTATTAGAAATCCATTACAGTAACTATCGGATCACATCCGCTCCTCGACTGCCGTCTCTCCGCACCACTTAGATAGTCTCTAGTGAGCGCCTCATTGGCCTCATGGCCGGCAGAGCTCTCATAATTCAGCTCCCGTCTCGATTCGCCGAGTTAGAACAATTGCCTAGGAGCTGGGTCTTGATAATTAAGGTCATATCGATGCATCCGTATATCTGTTGTTTTCTTAAATCGGACGCGACTACGTACCTCCGCAAATCATATATATCCGAGGAGAGTACCATAGCAACGAGATTAATTGCGCCTTAACTGTTGACTAACTACATCTGCCACTACTATCCCTTTCCTCGACCCGCTGAACACTTTATGGATCTCTTCTCCGAGATATCAGCCCCTTCGCTGGCGGTCGCCTCGGCCCTGACCGTCGCAGCAGGGGCGTATCTGAATGCAAAACTCGCCATTTCCACCGATTTGACGACTATCCGCAATGATCGAGACTGGACGAAACGGCTGGGTCAGCGCATTGCTGAGCTTGGCGATACAGCGACCCTGTACAAGATGCTGGAGCGAGTCGTGGAGGTTCAAGGATGTGGCGCCAACGAGGCACTTTGGTTTGAGAACAAGACATGGACGTATAGCCAGTTGAAGGATCGTGAGTCTGCTCTTACGGATACAGATTTTCTGTCCTGTCTCCTGTTCAACAATTGACTGGTTTGTCTTTCAGTTGTCGACCGCTTCGCAGCTTTGTTGCACTCCAGAGATATCAAGGCAGGCGACTTTGTCGCCGTATTCAACACAAATTCGCCTGAGATGGTGGTAACTATCTACGCTCTGGCGAAACTGGGTGTTGTGGCTGCTTTGATCAATAACAACCTGCGTGGTATGACCCTCGTGAGCTTCCTCTGTCACGACCGATTGAATTGACCCTGTTGAATTAGATGACACATTCAGCCACTGTCTCAGTGTCTCCGGCTCAAAATTCATCATTTCCACACCAGACCTGTCGCAATTTGTATGCTCAGACATGCCTCATATTGCGCTGAACATTGGATCATTCGACGGCATCTCCGTCGGCGCGACTGAGCTGGTTGCCGCAGCTGACCTGCAACAATACTCTCCCACCGGCTTGATCCCGGCCAAGCGATCTGTCCGTGATCTGTGTGTACTCATCTATACATCCGGCACAACAGGAAACCCCAAAGCTTGTGCCATTCGCAACATGATGAACATGACGACGTCGAATCCTCTGACCACGGATATCAGAAACCCTTCCAGATACTACCCACTGCGCACCTATTCCTCTCTTCCTCTCTTCCATGGTACCGCCTACTTTACGGGTATATGCTACTCGGTCGGCAATGCAGGCACCCTGTGTTTGCGACGCAAGTTCTCCGCCTCCCAATTCTGGAAAGATGTTCATGACTCTAGAGCTACCCGTATTCTGTATATCGGTGAACTCTGTCGATACCTGCTAGCCACACCTCCATCTCCATATGACAAGGACCACGTCTGCATTGTCGCGGCGGGCAACGGATTGCGGGGGGAGATCTGGGAGCGGTTCCGGCAAAGATTCAACGTCCCCGAGATCCGCGAATTCTATCGATCCACTGAAGGCGTGGCCAAGTTCGACAATTATGGCGTGGGTGCATGGGGAGCGGGCAAAGTAGGTTTCTCGGGGCCCATCCGACGATTCTTGGAAGAGGATGTCTTCATCGTCAAGTACGACCCGGAGACCGAGATGCCGTATCGGGACCCGAAGACCGGGTTCTGTGTCAAGGCCAAGCTGGGCGAGGAGGGAGAGGCCATTGGTCGAGTCAGGGACCGGGGCATGCTGACCGAATACCTGCGCAACGAGGAAGCCACCGAGAAGAAGCTCCTGCGGGACGTCTTCGTCAAGGGCGATCTGTATCAACGCACCGGCGACCTTCTCGTCCAGGACCACTCGGGCTGGGTCAGATTTCAGGACCGCGTGGGAGACACGTTTCGCTGGAAGGGCGAGAATGTGAGCGCTGGGGAAATCAGGGACCACATCTGTCGTATACCAGGTGTCCAAGACGCCGTTGTTTACGGCGTGAAACTGAGCGGGTATGTTCTCTCATTCAGCCTGGGGGCCTGTCATGCTAACTCTAGCTTCAGATACGACGGTCAAGCCGGTGCTGCTGGTATTACACTCGAAGATCCCGCAGCAGAGGCCGACTTCATGGCGAACCTGCACCGGGCGCTGAAAAAGAAAGGCGTACCGTCGTATGCCATCCCGAGGCTTGTTCGGCTGACCGAGAAGTGAGTTCACCTACAATTACCTAAATACACACCGACTTCTTCGACTAATGTTCTCTTCTTTTCGATGATAGGGTAGCAACTGGCGTGACATTCAAGCAGGCAAAGGGCGAACTGGCCAAAAAGGGCTGGGACCCCCGTGCCCAGACCAAGGGCGACAAGCTGTACTGGCTGAACGGCCCCACATACCAGAAGCTAGACGAGCAGAGTTGGGCTTCAATAGAGAGCGGACGGGCCAAATTGTAATTGTTTGATCCATTGTATATATATACTAGACGATCGCTAGGTAGTAGATAGTTGGTCATATTCTTAGACACGGATACCTGGATGTCGCTGGAGATGGTCAATAAAGTGATAGGTGTCAACGTCGAACAAGAGATCCGAGATAGTTTCAAGTAATTTGGCACAATCTTGTCCCACTGCAGGATGCCTTGAGTGGCTATTAGTTCAAGAAGATCCAGCCAATACTATGCATAGCATACTGCGTGTGTGCGATCGACGGACAGCTAACTGGATTCTCCCACCAATACAGGGAAAGAATCACTTTAGATCTCGTTAGTGTTAGCCACCACGCGGGCCATAATCTCGATAAGGGTTTTTCGCTTTTCCCTATCTGCTGGATTCTGCAGAATGCGCGGGGTTACATATTTTGACATTCTGCAGCCTGCAGACTCTTCCCTGGATACCCCTGTTTTGTGAGCATATTGACACGAGTATGTCCTCTTTAGCGTTGGGCGATGTGGAAGCATCTGCAACTTGCGATGCAAAACTCAAGCAGCAAGTGGCATCTCACACGGTTGATGATAAAGAGTCCGAAGAGCTTGTAGCACCTGATGTATTTGACGAGAGATATCGCACGACAAAATGGGAGATCTGGGCCTACTATGCGTGCGTGCGAACCAACATACTAATTAATCGCTAACATTGCATAGCTACTACATTGGAAATAACGGGCTCTCTCTATTCAGTACGTTACTATCATCCTGATTATCAATCGGACAAGATACTAATGAAGGTGTAGATTTCGCTCCCACAGCCTTCCAGAACCTCCTCTACCAAGCCGCAGGCGACCAGGGAACCCTCCCCTTTGCAGGCCGCCAGCGCTCGATCAACAGTATCGTCCTCCTGAGCAACGGCATCTCCTTCGCCATCCAGATCGTCGTCTTCTTAGTAATAGGCAGCTTCGCCGACTTCGGGACCTGGCGGCCTAACATCCTGATCGTCTTGTCGGTTATCGCCTACGCCATCGGCTTTGGCTGGTTGGGCGTCCATACGCAGGAGCAATGGCACGTCGGCGTGGGATTGTACATTGTAGGACTAATCGCGTATCAGACGACGCTGACGTTCTGGACGGCTGCGTTTCCTGGTCTGGCGCGGAATACGGCCGAGATGAAGGATCGCGCAGATGCGTATGTAGCGGGTAGCATCTCGCGGGAGGAGTACGACAATGCGGACACGATGGCGCGGAGCCGGCTGGCCAATGTAGCGTTCTATGTGCAGTCTGTGGCGGAGATTGTGATCCTCGCTGTCATCGTGGGGATCATGTTTGGGCTGAGGGTTGATGAGAGCCAGTCGAATAATAACTGGGGATTGAGTGTGCTGATTGCGTTTGCCTCCGGGGTGTGGCTGCTCGTCTCGCTGCCGTGGTTTGTTCTCGAGAAACGACGGCCGGGGCAGGACCCTGGACGGAACATCATCGTTGCGGGATTGACGCAGCTATACCATGCGGGAAGGGAGGTGTGGAAACTCAAGCAGAGTCTGCTATATCTGATAGGTAAGATCGTGTACTTCCGTGGAGATTTCCCTCATGGTAAGCTGACCAGCACTCGCCTGAAGGATATTTCCTCCTCGGCGACTCCCTCAACACAACAGTCACGGTGATTGGGACATTGCAGAATAGCATCGTCGCATACAACACACTGCAACTGACCTATCTCCTGATCGTAGGCATAGCAGCACAGGTAGGTCTTCTGTCCCCATGAGCCGCCCTCGCTAACGCCTTCACCTCTCCAGGCACTTGGCATTTACGCCTTTTGGTACATCCAGCGGCGCTACAAGCTCGGTACGAAGACCATGTTCAATGCCATCGCAGTGGGAATCATCCTGCTTGACGGATGGGGGATGATCGGCATCTGGACGCAGCGGTTCGGTTTCCACCATGCTTGGGAGATTTGGGTAAGCCTTCAGCCCAACGCAGCCTCCTAGATAGAGTTCATGGCGCGTCTACTAACAATCACACAACAGCTCTACCAAGCCTTCTACGGCCTTTTCGTCTGCCCCTGGTACAGCTACTCCCAGATCATGATCTCGGAGGTCACGCCCCGCGGCCACGAGTTTCTGTTCTTCAGCTTGTTCAGCATTATCGGCAAGACATCCTCGTTCATTGGGCCGCTGGTCTCCAGTGCGATCATCGATGCCTCGCCTTCGGGGAATGTGTCGACACCGTTTTATTTCCTGTTTGCTTTGAGTGTGGTGAGTTTTGTGATTTTGGTGCTTGGGGTTGATCTGGAGAAGAGTCGGAGGGAGCAGGAGGTTTTCCTGAGGGAGAACAAGAGTAGGATGCTTAGTTCAGAGAGTTCAGTCAACATGTGACGTAGATTATGGCGCCAGTAACTTCAACGAAGACGAACTAGATAGCAATTCTCACTGTGGAATTCCCATATCAGTTGGTATACATACATAGATTGTACTTCGACGTGACTTTTCCCTCCTTGGTAAGTGTAAACGCAGTATAGAAACAAATTAAGAATAACTCCAACCCATGCTATGCCTAAGCGCCTGGTATTCGAAGAGCAAACAGACGAAAAAAGACAGCGGAAGCTGAATGTGAACGTCGCAGAAGCAAAATCCCTAGCCACCAAGGCAGATGTGATACGATTGCCTCTATGCCTCGCCGTCCGAAGAAGCGCCCTTGGACTTGCTCTTCTTTTTCTTCTTCTTTTCCTTCTTCTCGGAGCCGTCGACGTCGGGCTCGGCCTCGGCCTCGCGCTTCCGCTTCTTCTTCTCTTTCTTCTCCTTCTTCTTCTCCTCGGCCTCCAGCTCCTCGGGCGGAATAAACGACTTGGCCCGCTCCTGCATCTTCTCCTCGCGCTTCTGGCGCTGCCGCTCCATAACCTCCTCCTTCTGGGCGCGCTCCTTGGCCTCCTTGGACAGGAAGTACTCGCCGGACTCGATCTGCAGATCCACCTTGCTCTTTTCCGGCGCCGGCGGGAACGGTGTGTACACCTTCTTCGATTTGTCGGTGACCTTGTAGGGAACGCGGCGCTTCGACAGCGTACGCTTCTTGAAGTTGGGCAGGAACCGGTCCCAGGATTCGTTGGCGAGCGTGGGATCCTTGGCCAGCTCGCGCTTGATCATGAGCTCCTTGATGTGGTAGATCGGGTGGATGTTGGCCATGCAGTCGTTGACCACCCGGCGGACCTCCTTCAGCCCCTTGTAAGGACCCATCGCCGCGACCGTATTACCCTGGACCAGGATGTAGGTGCTGGTGAGCAGCTCCAGCGCTTTCAGCGTGGAGCCGGAGGGACCGAGGAGCCGCTGTCGGCGTTTCACGAAGCGCTCCTTGTTGCGGACTTGGTTGCGGATCTTGATGATGTCGCATGCGACGCCGTCTTCGAGGATTTTCAGGGCCTGGACCATGATCGTCAGTTATAAGGCGGGGGTCCCATGTTACTGCAAGAACTCACCTGTTGAACGGGTACGCTTCTCGACAACAGCTTGATCAGATCACGAGCCTTCAGAATGGCTGCAGGGTCGAAGGTTTTACGAGTAGTCTTCACAGTCATGCTACCCTCAACCAAGTCAAGCGTACAGGCGATTCCATGCTTCTCCAACGCTCTCGTCACCACCGGCCAAGCTTCCTTCAGATATTGTTCGCGATACTTGGGGAACAGGGTTGCAAAGGACGATTCTTCCGCAAAACTACCGCCGATATTGTCATCGGGCTTGAATTCTTCAATCTAGTTAAGTGATCGCAAGTCAGCATCGAGTAGAATGTTGCAAGATAAATCCTGGGAATACGTACCTTCCACTTATCGATATCGTCCGTATCCCACGGCTTATCCCTTTTGTATGTGGAAGGCATCTTGAGTCCGTGTTGCGTTGCTCAACAGCAGATGCGTGCTGTCAAAAGATAATGATCGGTATTCAAGCTGGATACAACTTTTTTTCTCCCCGCGGACACTTACCCCATTGGGACACTATTGCAGCCTTGAAATTCAGGCATCAAAAGGCACCAACAAATCTGATTTGCGCCGTAAGCGCCCAAACGCGCAATCACCAACGTGTGCTCTTGACATGGTCAGAGTTGAGCCAGCTCCAGTGTGCGGTTCTTTTACTTGTCATAATTGCTATTATTATATCTCCTTATTGAGCGTGAACGGAGGATGTTGGAATGTGCGAATAGGTATTGAGCATGCCTATATGGAGTGTCGCGAAGAGGAGTGCAATTTCAATTTGCTCAATATACTCGTCACATTGTCATAAGACTAGCAGATTGATCCATCAAGCCTCTCTAATACTGTGGCCTTGATTCTCCTTCCTCTGTAGATCTCGTCGTCATGTTGTCCTGACAAAAATTGGACACTTGCCATTTCGGTAATATCCCATCTCGCCATTCTCAGTACAATTTCGTATCCATTACTCAGGGTCATTGACTATGCCCTCCTGATATATTATTCCGACTAGGCTCAGTAACAACCAGATTATCCCGCTCCGTTATTGACGGTCAATGAGGTTACTTGTTGGTGAAAAGGGCAGGGAGACTCGGAGCCGAAAGATGTCAGAACAGCCGCGGAGCATTGAGTACCTGGACAGTGCACATTCAATCCGTCATGTTTCCGAGCTTGAAGTGTTCTCTGGCCCTAAGTGGGCATTAAAACTCTGAACCGCCAAACTGCCGATGCGGACACAACTGATGAGGATCTCCTCAGAGGGTAGATAGCAGCCGTGGGGTTGGCATGACGCTATCCCAAACTTGATAGTTAGACAGATTCTAAAAGTCCAGACGCATCCAGCTGTTCAATCGCATGTTATAGAGAGAAGACAGACAGAGACGTTAGGTTGTTATCTGGTCGTCTGGAATGCAAATCTCCCTTCTCGCTCGCGGTCTGGTTCTGGGTAAGGTTAAATAGTCAGCGTCCCGTCAGTTTGGTTCTGGTTCCGGACCCGCGACGGTCCATCTCTCGAGCCCCTTCATTCAGTCTTCTTCCTCTTTCTTCTTAATTCGCTTCTCCCTTTGGGTATCCATCGTTGCTCTGCCAAGGGTTGTTTATCCAATTTCATCTGCTTGGAGAGGTTGCTCAATCTTCAATATCTCATATGTCTTTCTAATAATAGACCAAGCTCGCAATGGTAGATGCTTGGTCTTCGAGGACAGTACCCTAGCGTCTAATCAGCGGCATGTCGTCGTCGTGAAGGTCGTTCAAGCTGCTTTTGTGAAGATTCACAGAAAGTCCTCTCGAAGGATGGGTTTACTGACGTATTGGCTAAAATGAACATTGATGACGAGCTATCGGCGCGTGTCAAGACCGGTCTCGGTATTCTCCTGGAAGGTGATCATGCTGCAGAACAGCAGAGTTAGAGTCACTGCTTGATTGTCGGTGTTAATCTCAGCTCATAATGCTTCGAATTCAATGTTGTCGAACAAAACCAGATGCTAACCAGTGAGGTTGATATTCTGTCTCGCAGTAACAGAGTTCGGAAACAAGTCGGGAGAAAGACACTTGACTAACCGACGTCTGTCTCATTCAGTTCTCAGAGCTAGTACAAACCAAGATCTCTAATCGGACGACGGCAAACATGATTCACTTTACGCATTCCAGGAATGACTGAGCCTCGAGGTGAACCGAACCGTGAGCGCCCCATCAGCTCTTGAAACACAAAACAGAGCGATCCATCGACCTGCTTTCCTCCTCAATTTCAGTGCAGCTATTCTGGCTTTCTTCCAATGCAGACGTACCTGAACCATCAGAAGGGAGACATAATGGCCGATCCGCGGTCACTTACAAGGGAAAGTACGCCTTCAGGCTCGCCGTTTCCGCTTCTTCTCGTGCTTGAGTAATGAGTTCCTGGAAATCTTGCTGAGGCATGCCGGAAATTTGAGTCAATGGGTACAGTGCCAATGATGGAAGCAGGCTATTGACGTTCTCTCGGTTAAGCATGCCAATTTCTTGCATTTTACGGTCTAGCACACTGGTTGAGCAACCCGCAAACGAAACGGGAAGTGAGGACTCACCAATGGACCACGCCGAAAGAGGAAGAGGAATCATTCTCGCGTCAATCTCTTTGAAACCTCTGTCCCGAAGAAGATTGTTCAACCGTGTTCCTACACGCACATCCTTTGTTCCTTCGTATGACCTCAGGAACTCTGTGCTCCATCGTCTCAGAGCATGTTCCTCGGTAATCGAGCCGTTGTCCGATTGGACGTTGAAGTATATTTCGGTCAATTGTACCCATCCGCCTGGCTTCAAGACTCTGAGGAATTTGACCAAGTCAGCCCTCGGCCATTTCTTTTGTAGTTTGTCAGATGACCAACGACCCTGGCTTAGCAGAGAGCGCACCTTTTGATGTCTGCGAGGTAGGACGGCCATCTGGCTCTGTTGATGCCAGTTGCAAGAAGCCTTGAATGAACAAGGTCGAAATGATTGGAGGGAAAGGTGAATCGGCGATTGAGGTCGTCGACCTGGTGATGAGATGTCAGCCTGACGCTTTCAGGAGCCCTGTCCAGCCTAAGTCCTGCAGCTATGCGTCCATCTCTGGATCGTTGGAAGTCTCTGCCCACCTGTAACCATAGATTCTCGGGCACGTCATCCGGATTCTTGTGCGGAGATATGTCAAGACCAATTACCTTGCTCACGCCGAACTTGTCAGTCTCTGTGTGTGGAACGCTTTGAGTCGACAATATTCACCCTGCAATCTGGATATTGGGTAGCCATATCGACTGCCCAAGATCCAGCGCCATAACCACAGTCGAGTACTCTGCGAAGTCGAGGGATCGGTGGAAAAATCAGTCGGCCGTCGAAGACCTTAGAAAACACTCGATGCTGAAGGTCGAGACGTTCTGCTTCTTCCTGATAATGAACAACGGTCAATGCATGCCAACTCTTGAAGACCGCGGCCATACATCGTCAACAGGCTCAAACGCTATCTGGTTGTCGATGGAGAACTTGTGGAATTCTCGTCCATGGATCGTTACGGTGTGGAGGTATACTTCGTCCAATTCCTCCGTCTCTGAATCAGAGCTCCTTGTTATGGAAGTGTCAGCGCGTCTTCGCATTCATGTGGGCAAGGTGATCTTTCGGAGGGAGTACGTCATGCCGTCTTTGATTCTTCGATTTCGTTCAACAGCCTGCTGTCTCAGTATGTCTGGTTCGAAATGCTCGACGAGGGGCGGAGAGAAGCCGATGTCGAGCGGGTATGTAGGAGGAAGCGAACACGAAATGATATCTGGGAAGGGACCTGTAGCTGGAAGCGATTGACGTGGTACAAGATACTATCGCAGAGCTCTTTCTGATCGATTCAGACGACAAAAAGAGCTTATGTTCTCCTCATGGGACGTCTTAGGAGCGTACTTTGCGGGACTCGAGGCTCTTACTAAATGTGCGGATGGTGGAAAACCCGCTCTGCCCCAATCCTAGCTCCTCTGTTGCGCGGAGGGACAAAACAACGCTGTTGGCAAAACTTCAGTGAACCAAAACTGCTACAAATGGACAAGCATCATTGCTGTATTCATCTCTAAGCCGCACTACTTCATTGTGACCTCAAGGGACGATAGTATTGATTGTCGACAAGAGCGAGTCTGATTACCGTATTCGGACTAAGTCTGACCTCCCAGCAAATTTGCAGGAAAGGAGGGGTCGGCGGTGTCTCCCAGAGGGGCCGCTGATGCCGACGAGATCAAACAGAGGAAGATCTCTAGGGTCCTCGCTGTGGCTTGGGCTGCTGGGTATTGAACTAAATCGATTATCGAGCTTCAAATGGTTGCCTGACAAGTTGGGTTTGTGTTACGGACATTCGGAGCCTCCTGCAACCTCTGTTCCTAGAACTTGATGAAGAACGTCAGACTGATCCGTTTCCTATGAGCGATACATTGGTGCTCCTATCGCTTAGTTTCTTCTGTCTCAAGAGTTGTTCTCGCTCGAGAATTCAACGCGGCGACTCAGACCAGCTAACGGATGCACCTTCATGCATTGTATACAGTTACGCAATGGACCCCAATACCCACCAAAATGTCGATTACACGACAGCCTACATGCACTTAAATGGTGTACAGAGGCTACAGCCGCACAAGAAACGATCGAGAAATTGGTTCATCACTACAGAGGCACGAAGGGCTACGGTATTGAGCTGACTTCCATAGAAATCAGCCACACACAATGCAGGGACGCGGAGCGTCCTCTGGACTAACGGGTCGTTGCATGAAAAGTCAACACGCATGCAAGGTAATCCTCAATCATCATGGAACCTTGCMTAATCTCAGCAGTCAGTGTCGCAGCGATCACATGATAAATTTCTCACTCATGCCTGCGTCTCACTGGTTGTGGATCGAAAGATTTGCTCGTTTGACTTCAAGAATGCGAAAAGACCTCAACGGAGGTAAATAATGACGGCGTCGACGGACGAGCTGGGTGGGGAGACGGCCTGACTGGCTTAGGGGCTCCTCATGTACGAAAATAGGAGGAAAGGGCATCAAAGTAACTACACAGTACACATTGCTTATAGGGTCTTATTCCCATAAGTGTTCATCCCTGAGAATATGAGCCACAAAGTATGGAGTGCAGAACTATTCTTCTTACGACTCAACTGTTACTCATATCCATTCTTTTTTCCTGGCCCGGTGCCGCTATCACCTCGCTTCTTCACCGCTTCTTGTTGGTGTGCTAACAATCCTGACGACTTCAGCCAATGTGATTGGATGACGAACAAAATCGCGGATAACGGGCATGCTCGGTCTGCTGCTATTTCTAAGAGCGGGGCAATGACGTTTACTGGTCTTTGGGGCAGTCAGAAGCATATGACGAGCAAATGGGCTTGCCTGGTGGGAAAAGCCTTTTGAAACCGAATATGTGGCTGGATCACAGACTCCTCCGGGTTCGAGGCCCTCCTAGCGCGGAGGGGTGGTATAAATTCCACGCAAACACTTGCCGTGGGTTGTCGTTACGGGCGATCTACGGGCTTCATGGCCTCAGATTGAAAGGATCCAGGCTGTCGGGTCTCGCTCTCATTTCGAAATATTAAATGAGAGCTTCGAAGCCTGTCAGAACAATGATAGCAATTCCAGAACCATGGTTCACTGCTCGAGAAGAAACGGCAACTGGGGCCGCTGGCGTGTCTAGTGCAGCCGATAGCCCGGCGTTACATAGCTGCACTGACCAGGAGTATGAAGAACTAAATGAACTAAATCACCCGCCTCGTGTCCTGAAAGCTATAAAGTCCCGACCCATGGCAAAAATGCCAGTGGGCCTTCCAACTAATTGACGGCCCCTAAGGTGTCATATTTGACGCTGGCAGTAGTGATCACCATCACAAAGGCAATTTCCTCTGATTTTGAGGCTTAGATGAGTAGGTGCTCTGCCGGTCGAGCGAGCTTCCTTCCTAATGTCAGCGCCTGGAGAGCCTGGACACCGGACAGCGCAGGGCGCAGCCCTCAGCCTGATCCAATGATTTCCTTACCTACAAGGCAGAGAAGAACAATGAAGGATCAGCCTCTAATTCCCGCTGACTTATCTACACAATTGACTTTACAATGGGCAAAAAGTACGTTTGTTTCTCTGGCTTAGTGCTGACTGATTCCTGCGCTTGCGATGCCACAGCACCAGGGCCAGTAGTGCTCCAGAAAGCCTCTTCCCATTGTCACCCACTCCTCTCCATCGTCATATCGACATCGAACAAATGCTCTCCTGGCGGCAAGGCTAACTTAATGGGAACGCTCGATAACACAAATCTGTGCCAGATCAGATGATGGATACGGACTGCTCCACGACGGCAGGATTAACGTTATACTTACCATCGTATCCCCGCTGCCATGAACAATCCACAGAGCCGGCAAACCCTCCCTTCGCTCCTCCTTCCACTTCTCTAAACTCTCCATAATCTGGTCTCCAGGGCTTTGGTATGTGGTTGCGGGCCAGTGGCCTTCAAGGCGTTTGGGATAGGGTACCAACGGAAGCCTCTGATGTGCACTTCCCGTTTGACTCTTCGGTATTTGCGCTTTGAGTGAGAGCTGTGGGGCTCTTCACCGTGTCACTAGTCTTCGTGCTTTCCAGCTTCAAGCGCTTGTTCACCTGTCGGATCGTGGGCACCATGGCAAGCTTCGTAACGGAAAAGAGCTCGGCGACATCAGTACTGCCGCTGGCAGCAAGGCCACCAATAGCATCAGAGTCATCCAGGAATTTTTCGATCTTCTCGCCCTCGCCGGTGGTATGGAGTATGTGCGCAATGGCACAGTGGACTTGAAGCAAAATAGGCGAAGGCAACGGGATGCGCCCATCGTGGGCTCTCATCGTGACAATTCGACTTTGCGGCAGAAATCCTCGATAGACTGGTGCAAACCTACGGAAGGCCGTGATATGATACTGATCTGGTATGCCGGTCTGTTCGAGTGCCAGATGGAAGTTTCCAAATGATCTGTGAAGAGAGACAGAGAGCATCATCACATTTTGAAGGCTAATGTCCCGGTAATAGACGTTTAACAGGGTGCTGACGCTAGGAAAATAGCGGAAGATATTTTCCCAAACAGCCATTTTCTGGCGTTTGTCATGGTCGCTTTCCCACTTGGCAAGATAAAAAGGCACAATATGTGCTGCCTGTAAGTCTTTGCAATCTTCGCCAGGATATTGTTCGATCAATTTAAGATCATAGAAACCTGATATGATGCACTTGTTCCCCTCTCTAAGCATCGCTGTCACTCCGAGCGTTCTCAGCTGACGCTTCATGGGCTCGTCTGTCATGGTCGCGGGCTCTTCGATTGACTCGTCCAAGCTATGGCGCAGAGAAGGCGTGATGTTGGCCATCATGGCCCCCGCAACCTTCATGGGCTTTAGGATCCCTGAAATTATGCTGCCAGAAAGTTGACGTAATGTATCCTTTTCCGCAGTGTCAATGATGTCTTCAACCAGGTGTACCCTCCCATCTGGCGGGAGGTATTTGAAAGTTTCGCGAAGGATCTCCTTGGTGTTGTCATTGCCATCTAATGGCACGTAGTCTTTTATGATGGCCTGAACCTTATTGGGCATCTCTATGAAGATGACGCTATCGGTCTCTGATATCTGCAAATCTGAGATCGGACTGGACGTGATCGACAACTCATCGGCCATGTTGTAGGGTCGATCGGCAGTTCGGGACGTCTTAATACAAGGATCTAATTGAGCAGGAGGACGCTGTTGATGCAGTCACGATGGGCTGGAGAGCATTATGTGGTTGTAGTTGTTTCTTTGCTGAGTGAAGTGTTCTGGTATGGTGTCGAAGACATTCACAATAATTTGTATGATACAATGGTTACCAGCACACTACCGCTACCGTGCATACTGACACTTCCGTGATGTCTTTTCTCTCTATATCTCCAAAACTCCACATGTGAATATGCTCTGATTGGGATAACACAAGGCTAGCTCAGTCAAAAGTCCTGATATCCCAAACAGGCAACGTGGGTGACGCACTAACGTTGCATGTATTGACTCCCTGCATGGTGTCAGAATCCTTGCTGCATTTGCCAGATTATAAGTTATATGAAACCCCCTCGGGCACGTTGGTTTTCATAAACATTAGATGAAAAGCGAAGGTGTTTCCGGCAATGACGAAGTGACTATTCAATCGTCTAGGGTGTTTCCTACGTCTGACGGTATGCTCCAAACATGGATCCTGCAACGCTAATGCTTACACATTGGTCCGAGAACATTATATACGCAATGTCTACTGAAAGCCTTTCATTGTTGTCTGTGCGCCTATGTAGTCTTTAGCAGTTCTTCTACCCCTGCAGAGAACGATTTCTTCTTGCAGCCCTGCGGAGACGTCTACCTTATGTTCCCCAGCCTACTGTGTGATATTGGGCGACCCGCAGTTTTGCAATGATTTCCGGTTTGAACCGCCAAAAAAGGGACAAGAGGGAGTCAGGGCTCAGGTCTGATAAAAGTATCCTTCACACTCGCCATCATTCGATGTGCAGGGACTATAAAAGCCCCGCGTATGGCAAAATCCTGGTGGATGGAGAACACTGCTGCCAGCGTCAAATATGACCGCTTTGGGAGCCGTCAATTCACAAAGGCAGTTCCTACTTTGTTTGCTTATTCGTAAACTCCTTCATTTGTCTCTGAGGTATTGCATGCGGGCCTACCACTGGCCGCTTCCTGGGTCGCAAAGCTACTCCGCCCAGGTAATCTGTATGTGGCGGCTCTGTTGAGGGCAGGCATGATGGTTACAATTTCTTTTCCTGATCTACGGATGATTAAGATATTCTGAGGGAATGCTCCACTGACATTGATGCGGATGGTGAGTATTGTCTTTACTATTCTGGGGTGACTGACTCAAACAGTACGTTTGTTTCTTTCTTAGTGCTGACTGATTGCTGCTCTTCCATAGGCCACAGTCAGGGCCAGTAGTGCTCCAGAAAGCCTCTTCCCATTGTCACCCACTCCTCCTCCATCGTCATATCGACATCGAACAAATGCTCTCCTGGCAGCAAGTCTAACTTAACAGGAATACTTGGTAACACCTCCCGCAAGCGCTTTACAAATCCCGTCGAACACACCGGGGGAATCTGTGCCAGGTCAGATAATGGATACGGACTGCTCCATAACAGCAGGGTTAATGTTATACTTACCATCGTATCCCCACTGCCATGAACAACCCACAGAGCTGGCAAACCCTCCCTTCGCTCCTCCTTCCACTTCTCTAAACTCTCCATAATCCCACTCAATGCAGCCTTCTGTCCATTTCCTTTAACACCGAATAAGCGCGGCAGATACGACTGCTGCGACACACAGAGTACCAGCTCCCACATCTCCGCCGTGGGCTCGGATCCCGTCCGAATCGCACCGGGCGGGATATTCTTGATATACGTCCTGATCCGCGCCTCTGCCTCTCGTGGCGGCGGCGGCCGAGTGCCGATAAACGTTCGCGGACGTGGGACCCTCAGCTCAGGGGCATTGGTGTCCAGCGGTGCGGAAATGGATATCACCGCTCGAATATCCACGATCACGCTCACGTTCTCCTGTTTCTCCTCGGCGATGGCGGTGTTTGTGGTCACAGAAATCATCGATGGCAGGTGCAATGCGGAGTAAACAGCCAGATAGCCTCCGGCGCTCTCTCCGCAACAGAGTGTGCGTGTCAGATCCAAAGAGAAAGGCCAGTCACTCTGCGAAGCGAGATCCAACAGGCTAGTCTGCATCCACTGCCAGAAATGCGCGATGTCGCTCAGGATATCGGCTCCGTTGGACTCAGGAAGGAGCCGGTAGTCTGGCGTGATAATGATGGCCTCGTGGGCCTGMGCAAGGTCGAGGAGCCATTGTGCGAACCAGGGTTCATAAGTGCGGTGGCCGACAATGAAGCCGCCACCGTGAAAGCGGACTATCACGGGACGGTTTCTGGGTTCTTCGGGAGCCAGGGGTGAAAAGAGGGTCTTGGGGATAAGTAAAGTGGCCTGGAGGGGGTGGTCATTGATGAACCGGTAAGGGACGTCGATGAGGGTGAAGGGGTCGAATCGAGCCATCTTGACCTTCTTCGTGATTGATGCGTTTCTGATGATGATTCTGACCAAGAGCACAGGGTGTGGTGAGTGCGACAAGTAGTCAAGAAAGATGAGGAAGAGCTGGGAACAAGTTGCTTTATATAAACTAGCAGAAATCACTAATTGCCGGCACATTGCATGTCCATATTGACTACCTCTAGCCTAACTACCGTGGATCATCTATTGCCCAATTTCTCCCGCAGCCTCTTGGCCGCTAATTCTCCTAGCCGAAGCATACTGCCCCCGTTCATCAATTCCAGTACGGACACTTCCACTCCTAAATTCTGCTTCCACCAGTTCCGCACCTCGATGGCCACCAGGGAATCTACGCCGGCCGCGGACAGAGTTAGCCCTAGGTCTAGGGGCTCCTCGTCCTCCCTGCGCATCAGGAAAGTCGCCACGCGGTCCCGGATTTCACCTGCCAGGAACTCCGCCGCGGCAGGCTGATCCAACTGGCTTGGGTCAGCATTGGCAGACGATAAGAACGGCTTGATTCCGCTGGTCGTTGCTTCGTTATCCCCGGCAACGGTCTCGATGTTGCGGTAGATGGCCATGCGCGGGTCTCGTTTCCAAATGATATTGTTCTGCGGGTGCATGATGGGCAGTCGGCATTCGAGGGCTTGAGTCACTTGGCTCGGGTTCTGGAACTGCACGCCTGTGGTCCCTGACTCTGGGGAAGCTGCTGGGGATGAGATCGGGGCTTGCGAGGACCGCGCGATGGTTAGCTGGAGCGTGTCGAGGAAGTCCTGTTCTGTAATGAGGCGGCCGGCGCTGGCTAGCATGGCGTCCTTGGCTGCCGGTGTGCGGCTGATGTAGCCCACGTCGTTGACGGCGCCGATGTCCATGACCGATGCCCGGAGACCACGCTTGTGACGGTACTGGACGAAGGCGTCCAGGAAGGTGTTTGCAGCAGCGTAGTTTGCTTGTCCGTAGTAGCCGACCATGCCGCAGACGGAGGAGAAGAGGACGAAGAAGTCTAGTTCGTCGTTGGGAACTGCGTTGTGTAGGTTCCAGGTTCCGTCGACCTTGGGCCGGGTCGCGGCCTGGTAGGTCTCGAGGTCCATATCCATGACCCCAATGTCGCGGAGGACCATGGCCATCTGCATCACGCCTGCGATAGGCATGGGCGCTTGCTCGATGGCATTATGCACCATGAGAGGATCGGCGACATCGCCTGCCCATGCCTGCACAGCGCAACCCATGAGATTGAGCTCTTGAATGAAGGCCTGATCGTCGTCCGTCTTACCGGCTGATCGTGAAAGGAAGATTAGGTGCTTGGCGCCGTGCGTTGCCATCCACGTAGCAATAGCTCGCCCAAGGCCACCCATGCCACCAACCAGGAGGTAGCATCGGTCGCCGCGGAACGAGGGTTTGGGGATTGTAGGAGCCCATGGAAGTGAACTTTCAGCGTCGGGAAACTTGATCACGACCTTTCCAATGTGAATACCTTGTTGCATGTAGCGAAAGGCACTTTCAACGCTCTCGGCGTCAAACAACGTGATTGGGTGGACGGGCGTGATGTGACCATCGATATACAGATCCAGCATCATCCTCATCAATCGAGCGACGGCGGGTTTGTTGAAAACAGTGTACCGCGACAAATCGGCGCCTATGAACGTGCGATTGTCTTCGAACTTGTCCAGAGCCAATTGACCTCGTCCAATCATGTCGCGCTTGCCAATCTCCACCATGCATCCGGAGGAGGCTACACACTCCCACGAGGTGTGAAGGAGCTCGCCGGATACAGAGTTCAGCACACAGTCAACCCCAACACCATCAGTAGCCGCCATCAAATCATCACGGAAACTGGTGTCGCGGGAATGGAAGATTCGGTTACGCGGGATTCCAAACTCTTTGACCAGGAAGTCAGCTTTTTCTTCTGAGCCTACGGTGCAGTAGATATCCGCCCCAATCCACCGAGCAATGTTGATGGCGGCTATACCAATGCCCCCTGCGGCAGCGTGAATCAGAATAGATTGGCCCTTGGCAAGCTGCGCCTTGTCAAACAGTCCCAGAAGCACGGTTACATAGACGGCCGGCATGGTTGCCGCGTCCTCGAAGCTGAGATGGTCGGGTATCGGCAGCACAAACCCTCCAGGCCGTTGCACTTGGGTAGCAAGGCCGGTCGAATTCGTCCCGATCAGCATCACCCTATCCCCTGGCTTGACATGATCGACGCCAGTGCCGACTTTGCTGACATAGCCAGCGCCTTCCAAACCAAAGGTGTTATACCCGTCCCCGAGAGCATCGACACTGTTGATTACACCCATGGCAATGAGCACGTCTGTGAAGTTTAACCCAACTGCCTTCATTTCAACCTGGACTTGGTCTGCAGGGAGCTCCGGAAGAGGCCGTCCACTCCAGTGAAGGGTTTGCAAAAGACCTCGTTTGCTGATCGCCAGGGCTTTGGTGTCCGGTGGCACAGCAGTGGCCTTCAAGGCGCTTGGGATAGGGTACCAGTGGAAGCGTCCGATGTGCACTGCGCCGTTTACCCAGGCAAATTCCATGTCTGGATCTAATTCAGCCATTTCATCTTTACACCTTTGCACTCTTCGGAAGACATTCAGAGCTGCATCTGCTGCCTCAGGAGTGTCGATGTTCTCAAGCTCTAAAGTCGCTAGTGGCATATCCAGCTCAGACCGGATGGTCCTTGCCACTCCGAGAATCAAGGCTGCGTGCGGATCCTTCGCGTTGATTTGTGCCGGTGGAGTAAGCCAAAGCACAGAAGCTTCTTGTAGAGACTGAATTGTCTGTATTAGAAGGTCCCAGTCCTTTTCGGTGGTATTTTTCAGGAGTGGTCCGTCGAGGTCCATGAAGGAAATCAGATCTTGGTCAGCAGGTGGTTGCTCTTCTGAGCCCCATTGATAGTGTTGAGGACTGTAGCCCTTGTCACGTAGCAATATTTCCAACTGAAACGCAAGTGGATGAATCTGGGAATGGCCAGAAAGAAGGCTGACTTGCTTCGGATACTCAAAATGCATGGCAGGTCTGGCGACAATGTTGGCATTGATATGATAAGGCCTCTCGTTGTCAAATGTGACCGTCTCACATCCACTGAAGCCTGCGGCACGCAGTCTGGTGTCCCATTCCTCGGGAGGTAGGAATGGTCCTTCGATACGGCCGTCTGCCTCGCCGAGCCACCAGCCAGAGAAGAGGCCCTACTGAGGTTAATTATCTACAGTAAGGGAAGTGAGGCCAATAATACTAACCATTATAAACACCATGCAGTTTGTGACTATCACTGTTAGCTTCTGGGAACGGTTGACCGCCGAAAGATACACTCACTTGGGGATAGCTCTTGCAAGAAGAGACGGCCTTGAGGCCTCAGAAGCGTCCGTACATGACTAAGGGTATCGTGCAAAATGGGAGTGGCATGAAGGACCTGAGCTAAAATCAGAAAGTGTGCTAGGGATGTCAACTCATAGTGTAACCTACATTCGAGGCAATGACAAGATCATATTCCTCGGCGTTGAAACCCTGTTCCAGCGGGTTTCTTGAAATATCAAGCACCTTGTATTCGATTGCATCGTATTGCTTGAATCTTTCTTTGGCGGCGACGAAAAACCCTGAAGAAACATCTGTAAATGTGTACTGCAGATACAGTCGCTCTCCGAATTCAGACTGAAGGTGTTTGAGTATCTTCGCTGTTAAACCCCCTGTGCCAGCTCCGATTTCGAGTATCTTCATCTGAGGTTGGTTGTGGCCAAGCAGTTGAAAGAAATCGCTCACATCCCAAATATCATTCATCCAATCGTAGATCGAGGATAGTGTGCCATCATGAATCAGCAGATCTAAGAAATCAGTCTTGCCCTCGAAGACGTTTGCCAGCTGATCGTAAGAGCGCCAAACAGCTGTTGCGATTGCACCACAGCCTGCAGCTCGACATTGGTTAAGAACCTCTGTTATGAGATTACGGCGAGCCTCGGTGGACATATTCACTAAGTCAACCGAATCCTCGACGAGTGGGTAATCTGGCTGCTCAAACCTGGGGCATTGCGTCGTGAGCCACCTACGATACCGCTCGAAGTGCGGTTGGGTCGCGGTGACCCCCTGAATGGCTTTGTTTGCTTCCACAGCGCACAGCAAATAGAGCCGCTCAGCAAGAGCAAGCTGTTCCCGGACATTGTACGTCGGACGTGTCAGCTTACAAGCGTCAAGGAAGGAGAAGTCCGGCTTCCATTGTAGTGATAGCGCCGTCAAATCAGGGAGGCTTTCGTCTGATTCTAGCGCAGTGCCACGGAAGCCCTTCAGGAAGAATATCAGATCGCCGTTGTTTCCGACACCGTAAGATTGGCCTTGTGCCACATTACGGCCAGTTGTTGCGGTGCTGATGCGTATCTCTTTACCTCTTCCGTCACCAACAAATAACTCTTCGATGAAGGTTGGTAGGAATAGTTGCTTGAACGCGCGGTATTCACCCTGGAATGCGGCCACCGTCCACGTTTGCAAGACGAGGTCGAGGGTAGCTGGGTGCAGAGCGTACAACGACTCGAACTCATTTCCCGGGTGATCAATGATGTCGGCCGCGGCTTTCTTCTCTGTAACACCCGCACTAATATTCTCAAGTCCCGTAAACCGAGGCCCATAATTCAGACCTACTCGTGCCATGGTTGCGTACCATCGAGGAGAAGAAACTCTTCTAGGAAGCGTCTCGGGTATTCGCGTCGCTGAAGCAGGACAGGCAGATGCGCGGCCTTTTCGGACCAGTCCTGAACAATGCTTGTTCCATCCGGCACCATCGTACGAAACAATCTGGAATTCGTACCAGTCGCTGTCAAGACTCGTAGTCAGGCGTTGAGGACGGAGCGTCGTAACCATTTCAGTGGCCTGTTCCTCATGTAGAACAAGTGCCTGACGAAGATCAACATTCTTCACTGTATAGTCGCGGGTAGTGTAATCTCCAAGTTGATAAACCGCCTCGCCCGCCATGGCAATGTAACCGGCAGCTGGGAAGATTATGTCATTTCCGACACAATGGTCCCTCAGCCAGGGTACGTCTACGATGCGTACTTCATTTCGCCATGTTGGCACCAGATCCGTCCCTTCAAGAGTACGGACGCCCAGCAAGTCATGAGGAAGGTGTTTGCGAAGTCGCCAATTCTTCATAACCCTAGTTTCTGACCAATAGCTTCTCTGGTAGTGCCATGGATATGTCGGAAGGTCTGTCAATACGGCAGCATTGATAGGTTCCAGAGGAATCTTAATGGTCACGCCCAATGTGTACAGCTGACCCACGGCAGATAGAAATGAGTCTGTGTCATTTTCGCCTCGCGATAAGGTTGATACATAGTGGGCCGAGTGAGATGCTTCTTGACAGATTTGCCGCAATGGGCCTCGTAGCGTCGAATGCGGACCGACCTCGAGAAGTACCGCCTGTGGTGAGTCTCTTAACATTGAATTCACAGCCGAGCGGAAGAGCACAGGCCTTTCTAAGTTCTCCTGCCAGTAACGAGGCCCAAATTGGAACGCTCTGGAAAGGACCTTTCCGCCATGCACGCTAGAAAAAAATGGAACCTTTGGTGGGCGAGGATCCAGATGTTTCGCAATAAGGTCATGATATGCGTCACCGACAAGGCGCATGTGATCTATGGAGTGTCAGTATAATTAGTCGTAGGTCAGACATGGGAGGCGAAAATACCTGAATGATATGCCATCTCCACTTGCAGTCTTCGAACAAAAGCATGCTCGTTCTTATCCTTAATGTCGGCCATCACCTTCTCCAGGCTCTCTATATCACCCGAAAGAGTGACACTAGAGGAACTGTTCTCGCAAGCAATTGTCACACCTGGAAGGATGAATGGCGTTACTTCTTCCTTTCCGAGGCCAACGGCCGCCATTCCTCCCATCTTTTGTGGCTTCTTGCAGATATATCCGCGATAGAACGCAGCGGTGAGGGCATCCGCCTTTGTCAAAGAGCCTGCAGCATAGGCCGCAGCTATCTCACCACTAGAATGGCCAACTACTGCCGAGGGAGTAATTCTCCACGTCTCAAGAAGGTCGACAAGCGACAGCTGCAAGGCAGTGCAGATTGGCTGGGCGTATTCCGCTTTCGCGAGGATAGATTTGTCGTCACAGTCGGACAGAACATCTACTCATTAACTTTAGCGACAATACAAGCAGAAAAGGTGATAGGGTAAGACTTGCCCTCGATCGACCATGATGGGGCATGTTCTAAGCTTTGTAAAATCCTATCCATCGACCGGATGTTGCTCATGAACGGCGGGTAGTCGGCCATCAGCTGTTTTCCCATATGGACCCTGGGCTTGTCAGTACAACTGAACAGATAAGAGGAGCAGTGATTTACCATTGAGCGCCCTGTCCGGTGAAAACGAATGCTACTTGGCTCTGACTTTGACAGGCTGTTGCTACAGGCTCAGTGAGCGGTGCTTTGCCATCCGCCACACAGAAAGCTCTATATTTCAAGTGCTCTCTTCTCTCTGCAAGGGTATAAGCGACATGCTGCAGGCGATTCGGATGCTCGAGTATATAATCCTGGTGATTTCTGACAATTTGCTTCAACGACTCTGGATGCCCAGCAGAGAACACTAGCACTGTTTTCGTCTGCTTTGGATCCTGGAGCGCTGCCGGGATAGAATTTGGGATAGCAAGACCGAATGAAGCAGCCGAGTCAAGAATGAACTGAGAAGCTCTTTGTTAGAGAGGAAATTTGTTTTGTTTTGTCCAGGCACCGGCTTACATGGACATTAGATCCACCAATCCCATAAGAATTCACACTCAACCTCTCGGCGCGATGCTTGGGCCAGGGACAAGGCTCGACAGGGACAACCAATTTAGCTTCCTTCCAGGGAACTATAATCATTAGCGGACTCGAAATTGCAGACAGCATAGATAACACCGACTTGCTGGATTGGGCGTCCGGAACTTGATGTTGGGAATAATCGTTTGATGCTCCAGCGAAACTGTTGCCTTGATGATACTTGTAATGACTGCTGCACCTTCACTGTGGCCCATGTTGGGCTTAACCTGCGGAGTATGAGAAAGCGTTCGAGAACGGCTCATCTGGCACGATACACATACCGCGCCCAAGTAAACCCCATCCTTTCCGAAGCACTCTGCAATGGCCTTTGCCTCAATGGGATCTCCCACTGATGTCCCAGTGCCATGTGCCTCCACCATAGCGGTTTGACAAAAGTCAAGGCCCGCAGCTTTGTAGGCCTTACGGATGGCAGCTTCATGAGCATCCGGATTAGGATTGGCTATTCCGGGTGTCTTGCCGTCAGCGTTGCTGGCCGATGCGCGAATTACCGCTCGAATAGGATTCCCGTCTCGTATGGCTTCGTCCAGTCGCTTAATGTAGAGGGCTGTCACAGCTTCGCCGCGGGCGTAGCCGTCGGCAGAGGCGTCGAAGGACTTGGAAGACCCGTCTGGTGAAAGAGTCATTTGCAGGCTCATACCGACTGTCATTCCGGGCGCAAGGATGAGGTTGGCACCAGCGACGATAGCGGATTTAATAGAGCCCTGCTGGATGGCTTGTACGGCCTCATGTAAGCCCATCCCTGCTGAAGAGCAGGCAGTTTTGAACACTACGCTGTATTATTGACGTCTGGGTCAATCAACTTGTCAAACATGTAGTGAAATTGGGTGATACGAACCTTGGCCCCTTTAGATCATACTCGTATGAGATCCTGTTCGCGATTGCAAAGTCCAATGCGCCCATGAGGTGGTAGGGGTTATAGAAATTTGTATCCTTGCGGTGTAGGTCTTGCCAATCATCCGAGAACAGGCCTACATACGTTCCAATTTCCTTGCCTCGCCAATTCGATTCACCAGCCCGTTCCAGGGCTTCGCGAACAACCTCCAACATCAGCCGTTGACTAGGGTCCAGCTGCTCAGCTTCGGCAGCCGTGATGCTGAACATGGAAGGGTCAAATTGGGATAGGTCAGTGTCATTGAGAAAGTAGCCATGCTTGGTGATCACTGTGCCGTGCTTTCCATGAGGACTATAATATGCATCCACGTTGTACCGGTCATTTGGCGTAGAAGAGCGAGCGTCTCCTTTGTTGATGAGAAATTCGTAGAAGGACTGTTCATCACGGATCCGGCCGGGCAGTCGCATACCCATGCCACAAATGGCGACTGGAGCTGGAGGTTTGTGATCTTCAAGATCTTCATGCCGTGTGTAATCCTCGATATGACCATTGGTATACCCATTGGCGTACCCATTTACATGCCGATGGTGACCGTTGCCGTCGACATGACCATCGGTATATCCGTTCGTGTGTCTATTGATATGTCCATTCGAGTATGCGTTTGAGGCCCCGTTGAGATGCCCATTGCTCTGTCCATTGGGCTCCAAGGCAGCCAAGGACCCGTTTGAAGCGCCATCCATATTGCTGGGGAAAAGAGGAGATCAGGTGACATACACGACGACGCGCACGCAATAAAAACAAGAAAAGCAGCTCTGACACAATATCCTGCATACTGACAGTTCCATGATGCCTTTTATCTATATATCTCCTCTAGATTTCTACATGTGAGTATGATCCGATTGGGATAGCACAAGACTACCTCAGCGAAAAGTACTGATATCCAAAACAGGCAATGTGGGTGACGCATTAGCGTTGCATGCATTTGACTCCTGCGTGGCGCCAGAATCCTTGCTGCATTTGCTAGAGAAAAATCTACGAAACCCCGCCGGACACGCACGTTTTCATAATCATGGCTTGCTATATCAGGGTTGGCATGTCAACAGGTGAAAGGTGCTCTGTTTCGCTGTGCGATTCAGGCGGACTGGCAAATCCGACTGCTCGTCATCATGTTGGAATCCCTGTCACTGTCCTTTAGCACCGCGACCACGAGCACAGCCATCATTGTTCTAGTTTTGGGCCTCTATATTCTTCTAATTCCATTACATGCCGCGAGCAAATCGACTACGGGTTCCATTCCTTTATACGAATGGGATACGAGAGCCTTAGGTTCCCCCAAGAAGAGATGGATGTGGGATTCGATCAGTCTCTTACGAGAAGGATACCAGAGGGTTGACTGTCAGGTCAATTGGATTGTCAATATGTACTGACTTGCAAAAACAGTTCTACAACAAACCATGGCGAGTCTGGACGACGGAGGGCTACCAAGTAGTCCTGCCACCACCCTACATTGACGAGCTGAAAATGCTTCCAGACCACACTTTCCCCTCGTCCTTGCGAGAAGTATGTGTGATAGCCCATGCCTAGTTGCCTGGCTACAGCTGACAGCCCTTGGTGCAGTTCATGCAGCCCCAGTATACCATGCGACCGTCTCCTCCATGGAAACTGGACTATGTCAATCATGTCATTCTTCATGACCTAAATAAGAATATGGGTAACAGCTCTTGAGACAGTGGGTCTAGGGTCCGTTTCTCACATTACATGATAGTGAAAGTGTTTCCGGCAATGAGGGCGGAAGTGACTATTGCGTTGTCTATGGAGTTTCCTGCGTCTGACGGTATTGGCACGTTCTCCATGCATGGATCCTGCAACGCTAATGATTTACAGATTGGTCCGAGATCACGTTATATACGCAATGTCTACGGCTGGTCTGCCGAGTAGCCGGACGAGCCTTCGTCGGGACAGGGCTCTATCGTAACGAGGAATGGATTGACATTATGTGCAATGTATGTACTATTCTTCGCTTACAAGTGTGTGAATTCTGACAAACGGGATGGCTAGTACACCAAAGACATCTTTGTCTCTGCTTTGAAATTGCGAGCAATTCCCTCCTTCCTTCGTCCGTTGCTCTATCGCCTCATCCCCGACGTACAGCGTGTATTCAAGCACAATGCTCGTGCCGGGGAGCTCATAGGATCGATTGTGAAACAGCGAGAGAAAGACGAGGCAACTATACCAGGATACACAAAGCCCAATGACACAATTGAATGGATACGGGATCTTGTTCCAAACGAAGATAAGAAGAACTACGGCTATCAGGGCATAGCTCAGTTAGCCATTGCAGCCGTCTCGGTTCGGACAACCAGTCAACTAATCACAAATATTCTACTCAATTTGATCGCTTATCCCGAGTACGTCCCCATCTTGAAGGAGGAGATTGAGAATGTGCTCGCGTCATGTAACGGCCAATGGACTTTGGACAGCATGAGCAAGCTAGAAAAGCTGGATAGCTTCATGAAGGAGTCCCTGCGATTTGACACTCCGCTAACAGGTAACTTGCTGTCCCTTATTCAAGACCTCTATGGAGAGTTTCTGAGGATACAGTTACTGACTCTGACACAGCAACTTTTCAACGCAAGGCCGTGCAACGCATCACCCTTAGTGATGGCACAGTTCTGCAACCTGGGACTTTAGCCCTAGCACCCTCAAACGCGATCGCCTTCGACCCGAATATCTACCCAGACCCGGATAAGTTTGACGGTCTTCGGTTTTACAAACTGCGACACCAAAACGATTCCAAGGCGAACAATATCATGTATCAGTTCACCGCGGCAAGCAAAACACAGGTGCAGTTTGGGGGAGGACGGCACGCCTGTCCCGGGCGATGGTTCGCCGCACATCTGATCAAAATGGTAGTGGCAGCTATTCTCTTCAAGTATGACTTGAAGTTCCGCACTGGGGAAGAAAGACCCAAGACCTGGCTATTTCAGACCATCAACACACCTGACCCCAAGGGGAAAATCATGGTGAGGAAAGCGCAGCATGTGTAATAAGTTAGCCTTATCCCGTATCTTATGGGCATGTCCACTTGAATGAATAGCTCTCTGTAAGCTTCTTCCCATTTCAATGACGCTGTGAACTACCATACAATCTTGGTCGAGGAAAGTTACTTGGTGAGACTTGACCGAATTTCCCTCAGTTCAACCATCAACGGTCCCTTATCCCACAAGGTGAAAATCTTCTGCCTCTCCCACCCATCACTCTGCGGTAACATTTTCAGGTCAAAATTCCACAACATCCGCGCCAGAATGACTCGCATCTCATTCAGCGCGAATGCCTTTCCCAGACAGTTACGGGGCCCCGCACTGAACGGCTGAGAGGCAGCACGATCATCGCTCTGAAACGGCGAAGCCGGGTCCATTGTCGAGGTAGAAAGCCACCGCTCAGGGATGAAGTCGGCCGGCCGGTGGAAATTCAACGGACTATTTGACGCCGTCCATGCATGAACCCCCACACTGACACCCCCTGGCACAGGATGGCCCGCAATCCACGTCACCGTGCCTCGTGGAGTCCGCCGCGGCGCGGCAATGGGGCCTGGTGGGTAGATGCGCAGCCCCTCTGTCAGACAGGCCTGCATGTAGGGGAGTCGTTCAGCGGTGGTGGCAAAAGTGATCTCATCCTCGCTGTTGTACGCGCTTCGCACTTCGGCCGTTGCTTTTCTCAGCACCTCCGGGTTTTTGAGCAGGTAGTACGTTGTCCCTGATAGTGCTGTCGCGGTTGTTTCCGTACCGGCTAGGAGCAGGAAGTTGACGTTTGCTTCGACCTCACCGTCCGTCAGCTCGTCCGCAGTTCCTTTGCTTCGGAGTATATACGAGATGAAGTCTGGCTTGTCGCGCAGGATTCCCCGCGCTAACCGCTCCTCTGTATGGACACCGACGTACTGGAGGTGTCTGAGTCTGGCTTCCTTCAATGCCCGCGGGGCAAACAGTCTGAGGAGCCGCTGCACGTCCGTGTATGTGGCCATGGCCCTGGCATAGGGGCTTATCTTGATGCTTTTCCAGAATGCGTCCACCCATGAATGATAAGCGGAGTCTTGGAGGCAATTGAATGATCTTCCGATGGCTAAGTCACCGATGATATCAAACGTGGTAAAATTGTACCACTCCACAAGATCGATCCTGTTGTCCTCCGCGTCGGCTATGCCCCGCAGTCGCTGTATAAGCAGATCAACATAGCGTTTGACAAAAGGCTCCTGATCGCGGAGAGCTTTTTCTGAGAACGCGTAGGAGAGAGCCTTCCGGACGCGCGGATGATGATCCTGGTCTGCTGTGAAGATGCTAGGGCTCTTATCCCGGGAGAGCTGGATGAGGCCGTAGAAGGATGGGTCTTTGGGAAGGGCGTGCTCGCGGAAGCCGTAGATGTCCTTCCACGCTTCTGCGGAGATAAAGGAGAGTTCGTCCGGTGAATAGCGGACGACCGGTCCGTATTTGGCATGGAATGCCTTGATGGATACGTCGAGAGTGCCTCTGATGCTGGCAGTGTGGCGGAAGATGTAGCTGGTTTGCCAGAGTTTGGGGCCCGGGAAACGAGAGAGAGGATGTAGGTAGATATTATAAAGACTGTTCAGAACGGCATACACGAGGAGCTGCGTAAGATGTCAGCTTTCCACCCCTGGGGTTGTGAATTGAGTCCTTACTGTGCCCAGGAGAGCCTGGAGGATGTTACTAAAGCTGAGAGTTGACAGTTGACCGACAGCTGTGCTCTCGATGAGGAACGACATCTTGCCTGGTATCCCTTTGTGATTGCGTGAAAGGGATGTGGAAGTGGTTTGACTCTTAAATATAACTCATAGCGGAAGCCATTGATCTCACCTATGTTAGTTGTGCTCAGGTGAGGGGCTTGGTCCACTGGTTACTCGACCAAAATGCTGCAGATAGATGATGCATATGTTGGCTATTCTGGCATATACTTCGCTAAAAAAAAATATCGGACATATCCCTGTTAGTAGAACCCATCTCCCTACTCGTGCCACTTATTTACACACATCACACAGTCGCTGACCCTACATCCCGGATTTGCCGCATAATTTCAGCACTATCATACTCCGAGTAACCTTCGTTTCTAAACAGGCATTGGGCCAGTGGATTTATGATGGCCAGGGTGCGCATGGTTTCCGCCTGCAACGCTTGTACCTGCGATACAACGTCCTCGAGCATTTTTGCCGTGACCGACGTATTTCTCCTTAGCAAAGAGTCATCAGCAGAGGCACTTCCAGTCTCAAATCGCAAGACGTACACTAGATTGGCCATCTTCGTGGAGCAAAGCAACAATATACCCGGTCCCAGCCTGTCCGCGAGTAATAACCAACGCTTGCCGTACTTCTTCCGTTCGTGAAATTTGGCCCGCAAGTCAGACTGACGTTTGTTACTCAGATTTCTCCAGCCCTCGTGAATACTTTCCAAGATTGTATCGATGATTCGAGTCGCGTCGCCCCGACCTATGGTTGAAGCTACTGTCGCTTGACGAGAGTCATTCTTCCAGCTTTGATGCGTCTTTGTGTACTCCAAATGAAGCCGAATCAATGCCATGCGGTTTCGAATGGCATCATCACCCATCCGCACATCCAGCTGACAGACAGAAGAATAAGCCAGCTCTAGGTCTCGGTACCGAGATGTTACCGCAGAAGGGGACAGGGATTGACACGTCTCGTGCCACAGTCCTTCTCTCGTCCAGCGGGGGAGTTCAGACTCCAGCCATACAATGTGGTCTTCACAAAGAATATATTGAGATACCGACTGGACCAGCGCATCAGAGGAATTCGAAATGATAGGAGATGATTCCAAAAGCTCCTCGACAAGTCTTGGTTCTTCTTGTGGGAATGGAGGGGGGACTGTCATATTCTCGCGCGATAAAGGTCTCGGGTCAAATGACCCTGGATGATGCGAAGTAAGACTGTTGCTGTCGATCGGTTGAGTACGACTGTCGACCGGAAGCATCGCACATGGAGACGTCAGCGGGCAATTTTGATAATGAAGCGGCACGGCATCGAATGTGTTCAATCCGTTTGACGGAGTGCATGGTGTATCCGTTCCGAACAGTGACGAAGTACTACAAGCAGACTGGCTCGTCTGGGAGGAACGTTCGGAGAGGAAAGAGAAAATGGAGGTATTCGAACTTGTGGTCGGGACTGGATCACTATCACTGACTGTTTTCTCTCCTCAGTTCTGTTGAAGACCACTGGAAAGAGCTGTGATACATACGGTCCAAAGGTGCAGAGGATTCAAATGGCAGCAAGCTCGCAGTCGTCATGAAGTTGTCAGGGCCCAGATCTTCAAAGGCGTCTCGAGGAGTGTCCAATAAGTTCTCTAGCTCAGTTCCTTGTGAGAGGGGCCCATCATTCGAAGGCCAACTCCCATACGCGTATCGAGAGCTGTCCAAAAGTTCTGGCAAGTCAATCTTTTGCCATAGGAAGTTGTCCCGCTGGAAATTCCCTTGGATGACAAGAAATCCCCCACTATCTGTGTTGTAGTGAGCATCGATATGAACCGGTCCAATGGCTGTTATACAATGATGTCTGAGAAAAGTACGCAAGCACTGCATGAACTGCGATGTGTTAGTGCTCTCTAAGGAAGAGGAACACTGCAGGCTATCAGTCGAACACATCGTGACCTGTCAATTTTCTAGCAATAGGGACCTCTCCAGGAGCAGCAGTGACCGCCATTGATAGGTATATTTTGCTTTATATAGTGCATCACAATGCATTGTGTTGGCTGGCCCTCATTGGGGAGGAACGCCCAGTTGCATCAGCATCGAAGCATCGTAGCAGAAAGCGGCCGATAATGGCGAATCCAAAAGGGTGCGGATATTATCGATATCATGTCTGGGTTTCGATTGGCCTGGACATTTACGATTCGAGCCTCCAAATTAAACTAGAGCTGCATGGCAGCGAAGATGGCAGATTCGAAAGAGGGGTGGAAGGGCGTTTGGCCGGAAAACGGAGACACTCCCTGGTCTTTCGAGGCTTTGGCCTATTTATGTATTAAATGTCCGGGAGATAAGCAGGGGAGGAATTTTTTAGTGCTTACTCTGCGCCACAAAGAATCAAAATCGAGAAATGGAGCGCCCGATACTGGCTTGTCTTCTCCGTATGGACGATAGGGCATCCAGATATTGATGGTTATTGGCTTTCTGGCGCTCCTGAGGGACAAACTGAGCGGATGGGGAAGTTGTGGACGCCTCCAACTGGATGCACCATGAGCAACGTCCAATTGATCCTCAATCACAGCCTAAACCGCTAGACAGGGATGCATGACTCGCGTTATCCAAGCATGCCAATCACGGTTAGAAAAGGCTTCGCTCTGCCCCATCCAGACAAGCACCTGTAGCGTCCGTGTCTCTCCCCACCCGGCTATGCTTGAGAAGACACTAACAATGATAGGCGATGAGATATATAGGTCTCAGACTCTAGCCGCCAATCAGCCGAAACTCAGTCGACTGGGATGTCGTGGAAAGCCCGTCGATACCTTACGTTGTCTCCTTAACTTTCCAAGTCTGCTTGACCCTTCGTGAAATCAAATAAGCCATGAACGCATCGCATATCCGAGAGTCGAACAAATAGCGGCCACCTTGGTTTACTATCGTTCGGGAAATTCTTTTCTCGTAGACCTTTTACTTCAAACGGAAAGTTGGCCTTGTTTATGTCACTTTACACGTTCATGTCCATTCTTCGCTAGCATGGCAACCCAACTAGCGTCGATTCCTTCTGGGGAGAAAGGAGAGGGCAAAGCTCAGATTCAGTCTCAGCCTGTCGGAGCTTCCTCTTCTTCATCTGGAAGACCTGCCCCTGATCCAAATCTGGTGAGCCTCCCTTCGTGGCAGCAGATGTTCTTTATACAAGGAGGAACAATCCTCACATCTAACAGAAGTTTTTGGATAGGTGACGTGGGATGGTCCCAATGACCCTGAGAATCCCAAGAACTGGCCTGCGAGTCGAAAATGGATGGTCTTCATTCCTATGTCCCTGTTCAATCTCATGAGCTCAATGTCCTCGGCMACGGTTGCCCCAGCTCTGGAGGCAATCGCCGATGATCTCAAGATTCGTTCCCAAACACTGCTCATCATGAGTCTTTCTGTGTACCTGCTCGGTAGTGCAGTAATTCCTCTTGTCAGTTCACCTCTCTCCGAGATGTACGGACGAGTCATAATTCTCTCCGCTGCGAACATCTTCTATATCATCTTCAATACTCTTTGCGGAATTGCCAAGACTCAAAACCAGCTCATTGCATATCGATTTCTGGCGGGGTTAGGGGGCGCTGGTCCTTTCGGAGTATGTATCTCTAATGTGTTTCTTGTCACTAGTACTAATCTGAGCTATGTGTAGATAGGGAGCGGCATGAACAGTGACCTCTTCCGTCCACAGGACCGATGGAAGGCCATGGCAGTATTCACCCTGGCTCCACTGCTAGGAACGGCTATCGGTCCCATCGCCKGGGGTTTCCTTGTTCAGTATGAGTCCTGGCCGTGGTGCTTCTATGTGGTCTCGATTGCTGCCGCTGTTGTCCAACTTGCCGCGTTCTTCCTACTTCGTGAGACATACGGTCCTGTTCTATTGCGAAGGAAATGTGCTCGCATGCGCAAGACCACTGGAAACCTCAACCTCCACACCGAATACGATGGCATGTCCTCGACCGCTTTGCTGCACAAGAACTTGATCAGACCATTCCGTTTGCTGGCCACGCAGCCCATCATCCAGGTGCTGAGTCTGTATCTGGCTTACCTCAACGGCATCTTATATCTGATGATTGCTACGTTTCCGGACATCTGGACGACGATCTATCATGAGTCGGAGTCGATTGGATCGCTGAACTATATTTCTCTCACGATTGGAATGGCTATCGCAACGCAGCTGGGGACTCGGATCGCCGACCGCGTTTACCAACGACTGCGTGCTAATAATGGAGGGGTGTCTCGACCTGAATTTCGGTTGCCGATTCTCTGTGCAGGAGCATGCATTGTCCCCATCGGACTCTTCTGGTACGGTTGGAGTGCCCGGCCAAGCATTCACTGGATCATGCCGTAAGTATTCCCTTGCATGGTCAATCTATCGTAGGAGAATATCGCTGATCTCGAGAAGTAACATCGGTGCCGCTATTTACGCCGGTTCTACCGTTGTGCAGTTGGTTTGCGTCCAAGGCTACCTCATTGACACATACCAGCTTTTTGCCGCAAGTGCCATGGCCGCCGTCATGGTTTTACGAAGTCTGTTAGGTTTTGCATTGCCCTTGATAGCCCCCAGTCTGTAGGTTTTCCCCTTTCCCACGGCTTGTAAACAGCTCTGCTGACATATGAAAGATATACTACCCTCGGATTTGCTTGGGGAAACAGTCTACTGGCATTCATTGCAATCTTCATTGGAATCCCTTCACCACTGCTCCTGTGGTTCTATGGTGAACGATTGCGTGAGAAGAGCACATATGCACGAAATATCTAATTACATTAGTCCCTGTTTCGATTGAAGTAATAGTTGCATTGAAGTGACCGTGTATACTGGGCTAATTTTCCTTTGCCGATGTGGCTCGTTACTCGGATTTCTTTTCTATAGATGTGCATTAATTTGCTTAGTTATTCTATGACCTGTGTTGTCTGTAGCAAGAATACGGTATGTCCCCGTTTTCCCAACCGAACTTGATTAACAGTCGGTTCTCGTTGGAGTAAGTTGTAAGGAATCAAGGAAAGGATTAATACAAAGTGAAGGCAAATAGAATGTTGTGTTTAACCATGAGAAACCTTGTTTCCATAGTTGTATTTGTTGGGAAGCCAGATCAAACATGCATCAGGGTATCTAAATTGAATTTCATGTTCATGTTATTCATTCGCTTCCATTTCCAGCCATATGTCATCATGATATGCATGTTTACGAAGTAGTCATCTTCGTGAAGCCGTCGTATCTGTAAACTTGCAAGAGAACAGAATTTGCGAGGGGCAAGACTCCGAACTATTCTCTTAGAGTCATCGGCCGAAAGTCATCCTAGCTTGATAACACAGCAGACACGAACCGGGATTGGGGCCCAGTGCTAGATTTGTCTGCGCAAGGGGGCTCTTCAAATAGAAGAAGCTATATCGCGCCTGCTGAGCACTGACGGATATCGTTCAATGATTGCGAGAGGATCTGATCTCGAATCTCGCAACTGTTAAGCATGCACAGTCTTCGAGCACGCTGCGGTCGACTGTTTTAGAGGTATATAGCGTGGTTGGCCAGGTACATCAGCGGTAGGACGTTCAATCATCTTTGCTGATTGAGCTCAAAGCGTGAGCCAATTTGAGAAGAACAACACTTTCCGTCGCAGCAAAGTAGTTCAAACTATAGTCAAGGACAATCAGTATTCATTGGCGAGCAAAATCCAAGATCTGTATTCTGAAAGGTTTCCGTACCTGTCCATTAGGATGCGCAGATGACGGTTGAAATGGTCCTCGTATCTTTTCAAAGTGTCCTCTAATTTGCCAATCCGTGTCGGGTCATAGCCTCTACCATCGGAATTAGACGCCTTGTTCCCGGACAAGTCCACGTCAGCAGAAGCCAAAGCTCGTGCGAGGGAGGAAGCGGTCCAGGACGCAAACATAGTGCAACAGGTCATCAGCTTCGAATGGATCTGGTTTCGAAGTTAGTTAGCAGCCCTTCAATTAAGTCACAGTATGGGACAGACCTTCAGCAGCTTGGCCTGGGTCAGCATGCATTCTTTAAGGCATGTGTCCAGAAAATCCACGTGGTCCTGCATAAGCTCATCTACCGTCCGATTGACTTGCTTGGTGCCATTGATTGTTACTTCCGACCCATCAGCATCGGTGCCGTTGACTCTATCCATCAGGTTCTGCCAGTTTGGCTCGACAACCTCTGCTGTGCAAAAGTACAGCAGCTGCTGGACAAATACAAGCATCTTGGAGCGCAGACTCMATGCGCGCCTCTTCCACATCTCCAGTCTGCGGTCAGAAGACCTGTGGCGCCAGGCAATAACCTTGTTCTGATCTAACCAAGATGTCACTAGCAGAGTCTCGAGATGGCGCAGGGAGAGAAGGTGTCGGAATATCAGTTGATATCGAAGGACAGTCTTGCGGCTTATGACGAGTGACAGTGGGAAGGGGACGGAGTAATCGAGTTCCAGCGCATCAAAACCAATAATATCCTTGTCATCCTCTCCACCTTGTGTTTGAGGAGCCTGGTATCTCTCCAGGACCGCCTCGGGGTTGTCTTGGTCAATACCAGAGACGCTCACCACTTGCATCAGCCATTTTGTTAGCCCAATTTTGTTCATCCTCACTTTGACGTCCTCTTTGAAGGGATCAGAAGCTGCAATACTGCCGGGTTGACGTAGTACTAAATCAAGCAGCGATTGAAGCTTGTTCTCATTGACGTTTTTGGCTGGTTTGCGCAGCTCTGACGAGCCAAGCTCAAGAAAGTACGAGAAGAAGTCAGAGCGATCCAGAAAGAAGTAGTGTTTGAGAGACCGGAAGCGTGTCGTGAGCGAGTTTTTAGTGAGAAGGAGGTTCAGCAGGGATGCATTGGCATACGTGTAAGCCGCATTGACGTTGTCTAGGAACCGGGGATCATCTAGTGTATGAGGAACGTCCGTCACTTTTTGGCTAATGTCAACACCACCGCATTCTCGCACAACGTTGAGATACTTTCCAGCCAGGAGCACCTTATCTTTGACACCTTCAAGCTGGGGAGGCACCTCGTTATCGCGAATGGTATATCGTTTCTCCCAGTATTCGTCTGTGTAGTCTTCTTCCAGCTTTTCTCGCTTGATCCACTTCTGCTCTTTGACAAGGAACTCCGCGTGGGGGTCTTTGATGTCTCCATGGTGCAGCCACTCATTAAGCATCGCCATGTACGGCCGACTGGCATCGCGGAGCAGCTTCTCCAGGAGAGTCTTCGTGGTTGGATCGCCGGAAAACGTGGCCAACCGCTCGGTGAGCAGCCGAAGGACATTGCCTCCTTTGCATATCTTCTTGCTTGACATGGCTCCCGGGATGAGGTCCCCTCCTTCTTTTAACTGCTCTAGAATATTGTCGACATCGTCGAAGTCGTCGATCGACTCATCGATATCCTGATCTAACAGCCCATTGCGTCTCAAGAGCTCTTGTCCGAGAGAGTATAGTTGAGACAAGCATTGGCTCGTTGGCATGGTGTGTAAATGCAGCATATGTAGTGTAAAATTCGAGTGGTTCAGCAGTTGTGTCTCAAGTTGAGCGATGAGGATTAGATAATCCTTCAATATCCGTCGAATCGTAGCGCACAATGCATGGTTAACAGCTCCGTATTCAGCGCGACTCTGTACTTCCACGAATGACTCCAATGCACTGTAATGCGTCGCCATCTTCAGCATGGAAGAAGTCAGGTCTCTCAGCGTCGGGTCCAGCCCGGACGGCAGTTGAAAAGCCGGACCAGCCAAGCGATCTTTCTCCGCAGTCGGGTCAAACGTATGATGGTAATGAATATATTGGCCTTCGAATCCCATGAACACGAACAGTAGGTCTTCCAGGATCACTGCTTCCTGCGCGTCGGTGTCAAGTTCGCGAAGCGGTGTGGGATGAAGCGGCTGCGGCAGCGCGGAGGCAAGAGGAGGTACGGATACACGACTGGCTAAAGGTGCAGTTGAATGGGGAATCAACGAGGCTTGCGGCGTCCAAGATTCTGTTGTCTCATAGTCAGCATTGGTCGCAATGTGCGCAACGGATCTCTCTCTACTAACGCTCCGCCGGCTCTTTCTCCTTCTTCCGGGCATTACCAGAGGCCGCGCCATCTGTCTGACTAGCCCTCTTCGTCCGTAACTTTTCCCAATCTCCTCTATTCCCCGCGCTTGCCGACTCTTTAACTGGATTCCGTGTGCGCATTTGAACCTTCTCTCTCGTGTTGATCGTGGTCCTTTCGGTGCGCTTTTCGCTAGTGGTAATGTTCTGTTGATCTCGGGAAGCTCTGCTCTTTTGACTGGACGCACTGTCACGAAGCTGATCCATATTTTCCGATTGTAATGGAGACGCAGCAGCGCGCAAAGCGGCTTTCTCGGCGTCGACGCGATTTGATGCTACGCGGGGCCGTGATGCACCCATTTGACTGGCGCGACGCTCATTGACGGACATGATCCCGCGAGACAGAGGATATTATGTCAACCATGTGGCGGAGACAATGGCAGGGGTCAGAACAGATCGGAGCTAAGGCAATTGAATTGTTGATTGAGAAGAGCAATAATAATAAACAAGAACAGACCCAGTTGCTGCCCGCCAAGCATGTACCGTACCGCAGTTTACATTTCCTGATCCGGTAAGGCAGCGGAGTTAAGGTATCAGGCGCAAATGATGCCTTGCAGCCTGAGGCCTGCGCCAACTCTTCGCCAGGCTCCGTCGACTTGCGTAGTTGTTTGAGAGCTTCACCCGAGCTCCAAGACACAGCTTCCACCCACCTCACCAACCACTTGCCGTCCTTGCTAATTGCGTCCCTCTTCTTGATCCGCTTCTATATTGGACCTCTCCTCGCTGAAGCCTCTTTTCTTACTTCCTACTTCGGAGATAATCCAAAATGTTCATCGCGCGATCGGAATATGGTAAGCTCTATAGCACCTCCTCTCCGATGCGGTCAGCTAACATCAGCTCTGCCGATAGACCGTGGAATCAAGTACGGGCCCAAAGTCTCCTCTGTTAGCTCCTTGCCATGATCTCCAGTTCTGATGATCGAATTATCACAGCACCTTCTCCCCCGAAGGGCGTCTGTTCCAGGTCGAATACTCGCTTGAAGCTATCAAACTGGGATCGACAGCGATCGGTGTACGTTCATCCTCACTAAAAGGCTCTCTTGATTGATATTGGTTTTGCTTCTACTGTCGGAGACGGAAGAATTAGTTTGGCCTTTCCCTAACTTCCCTTTAGGTAGCTACCTCGGAAGGTGTTATTCTAGGAGTGGAGAAGCGTGTCACATCTACACTTCTCGAAGCCTCGTCCGTCGAAAAGATTGTCGAAATTGACCAGCATATCGGATGTGCCATGTCCGGTTTGCAGGCTGATGCCCGGTCCCTGGTCGAGCACGCTCGCGTTGAATGCCAGAACCATGCCTTTCACTACGCAGAGCCTCTAAGAGTAGAGAGCACGACCCAAGCGATCTGCGACCTTGCACTGCGATTCGGCGAGACTGGTGATGATGATGAAAGTGTCATGAGCAGGCCTTTTGGTGTTGCCCTATTAATTGCGGGTTACGATGAGGATGGGCCGCAACTGTACGTTGAATACTCGCCGCATCACACAGTCAGATGTTGAAGCGGCCCGTTGGTCGGTTCTGCCTTTCAATTGTACTAATCTGAGTTTACGGTTCAGGTATCACGCCGAGCCATCCGGCACATTTTACAGATATGATGCAAAGGCCATCGGGTCCGGAAGCGAAGGTGCGCAGGCGGAGTTACAGAATGAATACCATCGTTCCTTGACACTGCCTGAGGCCGAAACACTGGTATTGAAAACGCTGAAACAGGTCATGGAGGAGAAGTTGGATGCGAAGAATGTCCAGCTGGCTAGCGTTACCAAAGAAAAGGGCTTTCATATCTACGATGACGAGGAGATGGGCCGGGCTGTTGCGCAATTGGGCGGTAATCAATGAGCAAGGATTTAATGGACGAATCTTGAGATTCCGGCTACATATATCAGGAAAACTTACGACGTCCGCCATGGACCGGTGTCTGTTTGACATCTGATAGAGGAGCAATGACACTTAACCATTCTGCGAAACCTCACTCAGTTTTCGTAACTTTGCAATCTGTACAATGAGCTTGCATTGTTATGCAGGAGATTAACTAGGTGGTAATTGTTGTATATACAGCTATTGATGGCTAAATACACGTGTAGATATGCATGTCTCCTACCGAATCTTATAGACACAAGGCTTGAGGACACGGGCCTCGTCCTCGGGAGACATGCCAGCGCCAACATCAGCGGCCTTGTCAATGAATCTTTTCTTGCCGGGTCCTCCTGCTGGAGCGACCGAAGCATATTTGCCCTTAATCGGGGCACCACCTTGTTTAACAAACTCCATCTTCACAAACATTTTGTTCGACTTGTCGACCGATTCTGGTTTGAGAATGAAGCCACGCGTGCGGAACACTTCAATGAAGGCCGAGATATCAGTTTCGTCATCGTCGGCCTTACGAGCGTCTTCTGCATAGATATCCGCGTCGTCCACATCAGAGCCAGCATCGTCCTCACCCGCTTGCTGCTTCTTGAGCTTTTTCTTCTCGGACTTGCTGAGCGGTTTGCGTGCGCCAATCTGGGCTTTCTTGCGGAGGACCTTGCCAAAGCGGCTCTTGACTTCACTGACCCAGCATTCGCCCTTGCCATCGCTGCGGAGAACCCTCCACGCTTCTTCCACGAAAGACACCCAGTTGGTGCCCATCAAGCTAAGACAGAAAATAGCCACATCCACGGATCCGTCGGCAATGGGCAAATTGGATATGTCTGCTTTGGTGATGAGTGAGCCCTGTGGAGCATGCAAGTCAAAGTTGAGCAACTTCAGGTTTAATTTCTGCGCAGAAGGTGTCAAGGCCCGCGCGAGCTGGGCATCACCGCAGCCCAGATCAGCAATTGTGCAGAGGCCGTTGGGTCTCCGAGGAAGCGGCGGAACCTGTGCATTCCTCTTGTGGTCAGGTTTGTTGCCCTTCTTGGAACCTGACGACACGCCTCCTCTCTTGCGGATAGCCGCAATGTAGCCATCAACAGGATTGGAAGGCCACGACTCTTTGACCTGGCGAGAGAATCCTGCGTGGTACTCATCGAAGAGCTCGGGGTTGGAGGTGAACAGTTCAAGGGCCTTAGAAGAGGGTGTTGTATACAGCGTCTCGTTCAGATGACGGAAACGGGAGGATATCAACTTCTGTCGCATAGCCTGCTGAAGGGGCGTAAGAATCGCTTCTGTTTTCGGCGGGGCAGGAGGGATAACGGGCTCGCCTGCCGGAGAAGCGGCTTGCTTCTGTTCTTTGGGCTCTTGCTGTTGTTCCTTGGTCTGATTCTTGTTCTTATTCTTCTGCTTCTTTTCCTTCTTATCCGCCTTATTCCCGACATGCTGAGCAGTGCTCGATGTATCCTCTTTGTCTTTGTGACCTTCTTTTCTAATCTGATTCTTCTGCTTTCCTGCCATAGAAGATTCTTCATTGCCTAGTTTATGCTCCTTCTTTTGTTTCTTGCTAGGCTGCACAGCATTGCTCGCACCCTGCTTCTGGGATTTTGGGGTGCCCTTGTGACCTTCGATGTGCCGACGGTACATCTCGTCAACATTTGCTTTGGTAACATGGTCATTGCGCTTGCGCTTGTTGGATTTAGCACCTGCTTTTGGCGATCCATTGGTCTGTTGAGACTGGTTCTGAGGTTGCGATGCAGGCTCCTGCTGCTTCAGAGCAGAGCTCGGAACAGACCATCCTGGGACGGCAAACATGATCGGATGAGCCAGTCCACGATACCTGCGCAAGGTGAGATATCTGTCGATAAGTCTAGAGTTATTGATTCTGCGCGGACTCAAAATCCTATGCAAGACCAAGCTCAGCAATATCTTCTGGCAGAGTCATGTTTAAAGCTAGCGTCCAGCCTCTACACAGAAAGGAAAAAAATATCGTTGGCGGTGAGAAGCGACTTGGTATTTCTGCTGGTCCAAGCTAAAGGCGGTCAGCGTTTTGTACTCGGGCCCCGTCCTCCTGATCAACAAGAGTGTAAGAATCAAGCTATTTTTAAGCTTGTTCTTGGTCGAGAGCAGTCTAGATCGGCTCATGCCTTCATTTCTTTTTTGATTCATCATAACACGATAACAGGGCGAAGACCTTCGGTGGTGACTTCCTGTGTCACAGAGAATACGAAGTCCGTGCCTCGGTCTCTTAGTCTTACGAAGGATTCGTACTCGTGCAACCAAGGAGTGCTCAACTCCCTTGCTCATGATCTTTACGCCCGAACCCAACTTGAAGATACAATATATCACATTCCCAGGCGCATGATTGCCAAGTAAACTGATCGAACACCCTTGCCAGCAGTTGCCATGTCTGCAGACTGGACGACTAGCCTGAGGCCTAAGAAGGCAGTGAGAGTAACCACCGATTTCAATTGGTCAATAGGCGCCACCACAAGTCAATTGCATATTTTGGCAAATTTTGAGCCTTATGACCTGATCTGCCTCGCTGAAAAGAGAGCATGATTATTATTCGGACTGTCGACCCCTCAGAACGTCAACACGCTGCGGCAAGCCGCGGAATCTAAGAGACTAAATAGTAAATAGACTCCAAGTGGAGAAGCCTGGGAAATCTGGCCGACGGTTTCAGGCCAATCGATGGCTTGTTATCATTTGTGCTACCAGCCTACCTCTCCAGTGCTGCCTCTAGTTAGTGGATCTGCATCTCCCCACTGATGCAAACTGTTTTGGGCCCCCAGGGACTCCTATTAGAAGTCCCTCCTCTCTTCTATCCCTTTTTCATTCTCTAAATCGGTTTCTCGAACCTCATCGGCCCACGCTGCCTTTTGGTTATGGAAACGGCCTGACGTCGGCACAAAGTATCTCGTTATGGGGGAGACAACAGCTTTCGAGGATCCTCAACGGGAGCCATTGGCCAATGATTCGGATACAAATCGGGTGGCAGATATACCAGCCGCGGCTGCAGAACCACAGGCGGAAACTGACCAGAAGAGCACGTCTGAACAGAAGGTCCCTAAGAAACGCACCAAAACAGGTTGTCTCAGTACGTTTAAAACACGCACGGTGGTGGCATTGGCTACAACAGTCATTGACCGGTTGATATATAGCTTGCCGACAACGCCGCATTAAGTGCGGAGAAGAGAAGCCCATATGCAACAATTGTATCAAATCAAAAAGAGAATGCAAGGGCTATATTCAGCGTGTCATCTTCAAAAACCCCATCGGCATATTCGGAGCCTATAATACTAACCACGCTCTCAATGCCCCGATGCAGCCAACGCCCTCAGGAGCCCCACTTCCAACAGGATATAGTAATCATGAGCTCTCTCAGCTCAGACAGGCTGGCTCCAACAGGCCATTGCTGGCGCCGAGGCCGTTCCCGCTAGCAGCCGCGGGACAGTCTGCTTTGAACGCAACTGGGAGCGCGGGAGTACAGGAAACGTATATGGATACATTGCAACCTCGACCGCATCGACCACAGCAGTATGAAGCACCTCTTGTCTCCGTTCCCAGCGGACCGGGAACTTTAGGGGCACCAATATTGCCGTTTGACTTCACGCAGCACCAGCTGGGTATACAAAATCAAGACCATCCGCCACATGGAATGGGTGCGCCAGCTTACAACGTCATCCCAACAGCAGATCAGCGGTTGCCGCCTCAGCAGGCCTCAATGTGGCCTGAACCTCCAGTGCCGGTCATGAATCCGCAAGGGACGTCGGTCGACCCTACTCTAGCCTTTGTGACTGCGCAAATTCCCCAGGTATGCGGCCACATTCTAATCGAGTTTGTCGCTGTCTACTAAACATCGTACCAAAAGTTGTATCAAGCTGGTCCAGCAACCACAACCGCGTTCGCTTCAGGTACGAGACAGGAACGACAATCGGTGAATGAACATACGTCCATCCCGCTGATGACATCTTCAAACGAATTCACCTACGTGGACGACGAAAGTGAAGAATACTATGATGTTGAGTCTGATGAAGAAATGGAGGAGCAAACATCCGCCGAAGACTTCAACCAACTCAGCCTTATTGTGGCCTCTGCAAATCAAGACGAACGGCAGCTGCGGTCTTTCACGACCTACCTGAACGAACCCAACATGCTTGCTTCTTATCGCCCTACGCTTGGCTCGTCTCCTTTGAATAACCCAAAAACAGCTCGAATATTCGTTCACTTTATCCATTCAACTGGCCCGTCTCTATCAATCTTCGAGCGGCATCCTGCAGATTCTGCACACACGCTTGGCTCACCTGTGCCAGCAGCTCAGCAAGGCCTGTGGACGCATACAATGCCCCTCAAGGCATTAGAGCACCAAGCATTGCTTCAAGCCATACTTGCTCTCAGCAGCTTACATATCTCATATCTGCAACAAGCGCCTCCGGCTGTTTCATTGAAGCACTATCACTATGCGCTCAAAAGGGTCGGTTATGCAGTGGGTCTGCCCCAAAGGCGCAAACAGGTTGGCACTCTGGCCGCTACACTCCTGCTAGCATATTACGAAGTGATGACTGCCGAGCATTCGAAGTGGAACAGCCATGTCGCAGGATCAGCCCAGTTGGTACGTGAGATTGACTTTGCCGCTCTCACGCGTGATATTCGATCTCACCGGCGGAGGGTGTGGGCTCAACGGCAGCGAATGATGAAAGGCCAATCGGCTCATGCGGATTACTATGCCTTCGACGAAGGGTTTTTGGAGGATGACCCATTCGCTGAGAAAGAAAGCAGCATTGATGAGAAGTTCATAGGATCACTTCTGGGCCGAGCAGTCAATTATGATCAGTTTGGCCAGATTGAGGATGGGCGTATTCGCTCGCACGAAAGACATTTTACCCGGAAAGACATTGAGACCTACAGAATCCAATGTGATCTCTATTGGTGGTACTGCAAACAAGACATGATCCAGAGTGTCATCGGGGGCGGCGGGCTTATGTTAGTGATTCCCCTGTCTTGATTATTGACCTTTTACATACTCATCGTCAGCCAGATTACCTTTTTCCCGTTGGGGTCAGTGCCCACCGCGTGCCGGTATGGGTCGATTGGATGCTGTCTATGGCTCGGCGGATCATCTTTGGCTACTACTCGCCCGGCTCACTGATTTCGGTTACCGTGACAGAAAACGAAAGCTGCATGCAGCTAAAACCACTGGCCAGGACTGGAGACCAGGTCCGGGTCTTCACAAATTCATGTCTCGCTTTGCCAAGGGCGGTGCGAACGCACCAAGAGGGCCTCCTCCGGAATCTGTACAGAACCGTGGGCCAGAACCTAGCCGTCAATCGCCCGTGGGTGGTCCCAATGCAGGGCCAGGAAATTCACCTCCCATGTATGGCATGGTTCCGCCGAGGGGACCGACACGCCTCCCCTCGGCGTTCGCTAGCACAGCACATCGAAGCCCGTCGCCGGGTCAGAATGAAGAGGGAGAAGTCATGTCATATGAAGATGCAGAGAGCGAATGGGAAGATATTCGGGCTGCGTTTGATACTTTTGCCGGTGCCCTCGGTCCTGACTTCCTTCCTCTGCCAGCTGACACTATCCCTCCTATATCGACCCCATTCGGGCCAGCGCTGCAGTATCGCACGCATACGGTTGCGGTGGTGTGGGGATTCTACTATGCAGGTCGAGTTCTATTACACAGACTGCACCCGTCGATGCCACCCGCTATGATGGTCGCTGCAGGAGTGGCAGCGCCTACGACTGCTGATTACGCTCAGGTTATCGGAAAGATCGCCGCTGGTATATACTTCCCACAGTGGTTCAACGTGGAGGCGGGGAAATTGAGCCCTACGTTGGGGGCCTGCTTGATTGAAATGACTGTGCCTATCTTCTTTGCTGCCGTTCAGTTCGTCGACGCTGCCCAGCGCGGCTGGACTATTTCGAAGCTACGCGATGTCTCACGCTTGACGGGCTGGAAATCGTCTGAGGCTATAGCCATTGGCTGCGAAAATGCATGGATCGTTGCCGCAAGGCAGGGACGCGGCCCTCCGTATGAGCGTACGCAAGAGAATCTTCTCCGCAAACGACCTGATGCGAAGCCGTCACCCGACGAAGGCGTTCATGAAAACCGTCGTGCAGGTGTCAACACAGAGCGGCGATTTGTTACTATTAGTAAATCGATGCATGTTCACTGGGCAATGGGGCTCTTGAGCCTGGAAGACGATGTTTTGAACTTGGAAACAGACGACCGGAGATAACAGATATTCTTTGGTTGCCGAATCACTTCTTTGCGGCTAGCTCATACCCAGGAAGGCTGCATGCTATCTAGCTCCAGCGTCAACGCTCGCGGAACCTTGGAGCGTGGCTTMAAGTCTGGACCTTCACAGGCTTCTCATAAACAGAAACACGCGTTCTCTGTGGTTCCGCCTCGTGATAATGTGGTTCGTGGCAGTGGCGACCTATTTTCATCTGAGAGCAAGGGAGCATCGCCATTGAATGAAACACCACAGAACTGTATACTATAATTTCGTCTAAGCTGAGATGCGGTAAGATTACCAGGTCGCTGCTCCTCCAGCCCCTTCAGGTAATATTGTCGCATTTGCACGGCGGATGCCTCGGGGCCTGTCGGCAGAACATCCATGGAAACTCAGGCATCTGCATGCACTTGGCACTTGAGGCCATGGACTCAAGCTTCAGGAAATGCAAGACCATTTAGTACGACAGACCGCCGTTGGTGTGCTTCACAATGCCAGTAAAAAAACCTGGGAACATTGAACATGGTCACATGATGAAGTCGTGTCCATGAAATGGTCTCACAATGCCTCCTC